TGGCCAGTTTTTTCCTCTGAAAACTCTTGCACTCTTGCAATCGACTTTTAAAACTTAAACGGTAACATTGGTATACAATTGTTTAACGTTTTAAACAAAGAATAATTTGCCAAAAATTTAGAGCAACAATTTACATGAAAAAAGCAGCATTTTCAAATATTATTGAAATTCGATACTTTTTTTAATATATTTTACTTGGAGTAACAATTGTGAAAATTTTACTCAAATGTAAAATTATACGTAATGGTAGCTTGAAGCTACAAAATATATTTACATGTCGAATTGTGAAATTTAGTACCTACATTTTTTTAAATAACTTAACAAATGTTGTAACAGTAACTCATTATCTTTATTGTAATTTAATAGATGAAAAAAATAAAGAACCGAGAACAAAATACTATACGAATAGCTTATTCGAGAAAGGAAATAGGTAAAAGTTCCAAAACGATGAAATATCACAAAAAACTGTTTTAAAAATAACCATTAGCGATTCCATCATTTGTTGAACTGTTAAATTATAATTTGACTTACTCCAGAAAATGTTTTTGCTAAAAAATTACTGTATTAATGCAGAATATTAGTTTGCACTAATCGTTGGTTTAGAATTGTGAATGAGCTTGGTCAACGCTTTATCGACTTTTAACAATACTATTGTCTTAACTAGTTCCGTTTTTATCTTCTCTAAACCAAATTGTTTTAATCAAAATTGTTCCTATTAATATTTACATTACTTAAACGCTATCAACGTTTTAAAATTAATAAAATCTTGCTTCATCTAAATTTTAATTCGCAAAAACTTTGCCTCAAACAAATCCTAATTTAAGCCAAGTATTTATAATATTTTTATATTCAAAATGAAATGTCCAGTTTTAATTTTTTCCATAATAATGTTTCAATACTTAAATCAATCTTTTTAAAACATTAATCTTAGCTTATACTATTACTGTGAGGTTTTATTATTATTATTACCGTTGTTGTTGTTTTTGTGATTATTGATAATTTTTTATTTGACAAACAAATATCATTAACTAAAAGTATGGATTATTAAAGAAATTAGTAGTTGTAGTTCTGCATGTGCACAAATCATATACCGGATTCGATAAAATTGACAACTTAGTATGTATTATAACCTTAGAATTGTTAGTATACAATTTATGACTCATCGATAGCAGTTTAAATAAATATGTTTTAACATTTATGCGCACAAGTGCCGAAATTTTAGGTTTATCCAAAATATTGTCGGCTTGTAATTTATTATAACCTTCGAATTTTCAATATTATAAAAATTGGGTCAACAAATGCACGCACAAAAAACGGAAAACATAATATTTGACGTCGACGGTTTTACAAAATCATAGTTTTATACGTTTTTGATTATAAACAAGAAAAAGAAATTTGAGCTTAAAAAAATGTGTACATTATTTTGACGTTGGATCGACCTATGCTATTGTTTTTTTTTGTTATTGATCAAAATTTAAAGGCAAATAAAAATGCTCGAATTCGTTGGGCATTTGAAAAAAAAATAAACATAAAAGCGATAATCAATTCAAGTTTATTAATTACTGTACACTACTGGTAGTGAAAAATTAATGCAAAACAACAATTCCAATTCCATGCGAAAACTTCCAACTGTGTTGACTCCGTATGATATATCTACCAATTTTTTTTTTCTGTCTACACATTTGCATCGAGGCGTTTGACAGTGATCTTATCGGATTTAAAGCCAACCTTCGAACTTTATCCAAGTCATTATGCGCATATAGGTAGAAACAAAATTCAAGTTTTTGATCTAATCTAGTTAAATATAATCACTTCCCAATCTTCTGATCTGGTAAAAAAGTATAGGGCTCTGTCTTCTCCTAAAGATTTCGACGTTGTTGCGCATATTATAATATCATTTCAATAAACGGTTTATAGTTCACAGGTATTCTCTACTTGAAGCTTTTCCGTCATCCCCTCGTGATCGCAACCACTGTTGACGTTATTTCTTTTTGCACGAAACCTACCTAATGCGAGAAAAGCCAATATTTAGGTGTTTACTGCCATGCGATTGGGAGTAAAATATGTTTCTGCTCAACTCGACATCGGTTAGAACTGTGTTTGTAATATTTTGTTGAGGTGGGGTTTAAAAAAAAACTGTCAATCCACATTTGTTCAGCCCTTCCCGGCAACTACCGGATGACCGCTCGTGTTTGTAATTACTTTTCGTTTTTTTTTTTTTTTTTACCGACGGGATTTTTATGAAATGCTTATGGAAAAAGTTTTGGCGTGTGCTCAACCCCAATCTATCCACCGTTGCGCTTCCGTCGAGTCCTGGCCGTCATATTATTATATTATAATAATAATAATAACATGCCTCGTTATTCTGCTATTTATGAGCGTCGGTTTTAGTGTGAGGGCTGCGAGCGGCCATACGGAACCGATAAATTATTAACGGCCGCGGGTAGCACATAATAACCTTTCAAAATTTCATTGGACGGCGACCGGAGATAAGTTGAACGCAGGTAATCCTGCGGCACCCACATTGTTACATTAATATGAAAAAAAAAAAGGAGAGCATTATTAAAAAGCCATCGATCCGAAAGTCCATCAAAAGTATATGGAAAGCTCCTATAGTCTTGCCGTTTTCCCGGTCGTACTCTACTTAAGCCACCGGTCCCCCTTCTATCACTGCCAAAATATTCAAATATAATTGGTGAAAACTGTTTCTAACCACACAGGCATAGAATAAAATATAAAAAAAATGTCCAAAAAAACATCTATCAAATTAATATGCCTACGATGCTTTCTAGAGAACGCATACAAAATACTTTTGATTGTTATTAGAAAGATAATACGTTTAACGGTGTTTTGTTTAGACCGCTCGAGTAAAACAAAATTATCAATACAATTTTAAATGAAGAATTTGAGAGATAGTCCAATTCGCTAATATTTATTTATTTTGTTTCTAACACTTTTTTTGTTTTTGAAAATCTGTTTCTAACACAAATAGTTTTACTTATTTTTTGAACGTTACATCATTCAATATCGAAAGTACAATGTTACACCAAAAGTCGTTTACTTTAAAAATTACTGCAACTACAGTATATTTATTAGGCACACATTACACATAATTATTATCTGTGTAATAGAAAAAAGTAAGTAAAATAACTAATAAGAAATAGTTAGACTTATGATATTATGGTGATTTAATTAAGTTGTATTAATTGTTGTAACTTGATCAGCGGTAGAGCTGAAGCGTTGTGATATTTATTGTAAATTCTAATGCTCTTTTTAAAAATATACTTTTAATTATACTTTCTCGTTCTATGTTTATTTTGGTTTCATCAATCATAATGGATTTTTTTGAAACAACACCAAACGACGCACAAAAAAACTATTTGCCACTTCCAATATTTATTAAATGTTCATAAGCTTTTCAGAGTTTCGCGGATAACTCACAAATATGGCCCAACAGCTATACCTGAAAACCAACCACCTAAAGGTCCAAGTCGACTCCACTGATAACTACAAAAAAAAACAATACATTTTCTAAAATAATGCAGAATATTATTGCATTTTAACTTTAGTCGAACAAATCTTTCAATTAATAAAAAATGTTTACCTTTTCGCCGAAATGAAGAAAAAGATTTCTGCAGCAATAGAAGAAATAGGCTACTCGGTTCGAAAAAGAACTAATATTATCTAACCATTAATCGAAAATTTCATAAGAAAAGCACTATTTTATTTTTCCAATCATATTCATTACATTCTGATTTAAAAATATCTACTGTAATTGAAGTAGCGGCATAACACTATTTCCCACCTAACAAACCACAAAAATCTATTTATCTCAAAACTCTCTTGTACTTCTATTTCTACCACCAAAAAAATAAAAGTCATACAAATCGGTGGTTACGTGACCTGATCGGTTAATAAAAAAAATAATTGTCTTCATCCTTAATCAAAATTTTTACTTAATTTAATTTATTTATAACAAAACCAAAATTTACCTTGTATTACCTCTACTGAAAGACCACTTCACAATGTCTTGTCTTTTATTGTATTGTTCGAATAACTGTAACGGTTGTATAAATTAATATTATTCAGTATTCGTATCCTAACGAACTGTACGTTTTGTAAATAGTTATCTTGTTTAAAACCACCAAAAAAAAAATTAATTTTTCTAAGTTTAGATGTCCTTAAGTCAAGAAAACTTTAGTAAAAAACAAAAATAATAATAATTAACATATTAATGTATAATAAATAAAATAATACAAATTATTAACTTCTTATTACACAAATATTATTATTGAGATTTTCGCTTACCTTGTCCGTTAAGTTATGAATTTCAACTATTCTACAATACTTAATACTTTTAAATTCTTAACAGTGCTGGGGGGCGATTTTTGAACCTTGTCTAATTCGATAAACATTCAAGAATCGCCCTGGTTCATAAAAACCACAATAGCCGTTGGTAGTATGCATCAATAGCATTTTCACTGTGTTGGTTTTAATAACTAGTAACCACATATTAGGCAACAACAATTGACTTTGCTGCTTAGAGCACAAACAACATTACACATAGCCATAATCAGTGTAAACAGATTGCCAATAAATAATGTTATGCTATTAGGTTGAAAAAAATAAACACTTTGGTTAAAAAAATTTAATTATTTCCGATGATTACCTTCTTTAATATTATATTGTATACGCCTATTATTATTTAGGTATGCGTTATTTTTTGAGATTATTTAATATCTAGTATGAAATATAATTTTTGTCTACATTTTATGATTTTTTTATTCATATTTGTATAACATAATAATTATAACACATTTTCAAATGTTTATTTTAATATTATCACAAGAAACCATATCGTGATGATTATTAATTTACACATACGTCTTAAAATCTTCACTTTCCTAGTTTATGAAAAGTTTGATTAAAAAAAACAATATTACAATACTGTACCTGCTTGTAATGTATGTTTATTGAATAGGTCAAATCCTTTTTTGGAACGATTAAAGACGTGGCGTACAAAAACAATAACTTTATTTAAAATCAAAAAACTAATATAGCCAGAAGACGGTATGACTAAAAAAAAAAACTCACTAAAAGTATTTTTATAGAAATAAAAACATGAATTAAAAAATACAATTAATGAAGTAGTACAATCATTTTTTTACGCCGTTTATGACACTTTACACTTGTCGACATCTTCGCTGTCTTCGTCTATGTCGACTGAAGACGTTTCGAGCTGACCACCCGTCAGTATGTTGTTGACGACTGCTCTGGCCAAATAACCCGTCGTCGTCGAATACTTGCTCGATATGAACGGGTCCAGGTCTTCGCTGACTTTCAACATGTTGTCCTGTAGGCAAGTCGCCATTAAACGGTGAAAATTATCATGCAATTCACACAATGAGAAAAAAACAACAACAGAAACGTTTTTAAAAATGTTTATTTATGTATCGAGTCAGCCACCGAGTTTTAGCAGCAACTCATTAAAGCTATAAGGTCTACCAATATAAGTGTATTTTAGCTCACCGTAAAAAAAAAAGTGTACTATATAAACACTACAGTTAGGTATACTATAGACTCCAAAGTGGTTTCCAAGAGGAGATCAAAATTCAATGATAATATTTTGGCAACAACTAAATACAACTAAATGTATGCATAATACATTTAGTGAGAGTATTATAATGTGATTATGGCTTGTATATACAAATATTACTAGTAGGTATACAACTTTGGAGCATTAAGACAAATAAGTGCTTTGGCGTGAATCGCCTAGTATAATCTTATGTTTGAATACTCAAGCACTTATACTCATACTTTGAGTACTAAACAAAGACATTAGTGTTCTGTTTAAAACGTGTCAAGCCAACGTACGGATTAAATGACTTGAGTCAAGTGACCAACCCTTTTGGCCGTTTAAATGCTTTCACAGATGCCCATCCGGTCGAAATCAAATATTGGCAGACCCCAGTCAACACAGTATAATAATAATTGTATCTCAGAATTAAACGATGGCAAGTTCAAAAATAGCGATTTTCAGTTTATTACAGTTTTACATATTTTATAAGGGTTATAAGAGTGTATTTTATCATTAGACAGTATGCTAGACGCTTAACGTTTTTAAGATCTCCTGTAAAGTGGTCACAATGAGAATAACGGTCGTCTAGATCTAAGATACAGATACATCAGCAGTCTTACCTTGCAAAACATTATATTGGCTTCTGTGATCAAACTGTCAAGATTCAGTTCGTCCCTTAACGTGAGTTCCGGGTTGCGAATGAGAATCGTGGAAACGATACATAACAACTGAAACGGAGACAATAATTGATTATTATTCCACCTTGAACGATGTTGCAAGTGCTTTCAGAAACTTAAGTCACCACAAGTTTGACAATGCTATAAAATAAGCGACCCCAACGTAAAACCCAGTGCTGAGCTATCTCAGTTACCAAAGATATTAATTTAAGTATTAGGTAACTGAGTAGTTCAATTTTCCAATCAACTTAGTACAGTTATGAACATAGTTAATGACACATTTTACCGCGTTTAAGATACATTATTATGCAATAGTTAATACAGATACATTAATTAATTTTAATTTGAACTAGGGTAGTCATTAAAAGAAATAGGCAAAATAAAAATACCATGGTCTTAAATAAATAATAACTGGCATAATTGTGCAATGGCCTTACAATATTATAGTACCTACCACCTAATAGGTTTTTCTTAACCGATAAAAACGAAGGTAAGGACTTTCTACTAACATGTCCTTTTGTTTACAAAAAGCCTGCCCAACCGCTCAGTAGGGTTTCCAACATTTTTTTTTTTAGACCACCGGCTTTTCTGCAGCTTACTTATTATTGATCACACGGCCAAACAGCTATAAGAAAAATGCGAAAAAGGTCTGGCTAAAGAACGTGATCGGACGTTTTTTATTTTCCCAACGGAATCTTTTCTAAGGGAAATATTATCCAAGTGTGGTGAATAATCCCAAAATGTTTGTTTGATTAACGATTGGCCGACCGGCGTTTGGCACACACAATATTATTACCCTCTGTCGACGTTTGTATTTTTTTCAAAAATAAAACCCTTGGACCATTATCGACAAGAATCAGCCACCGAGCTCACTTTTTTGTTTGCTCTTTTTTCCACCGAAAACAATCCATTAAGGATTGCAATAACAACACAAAAAATACTAAATACATTTTAAGTGTATCTATAATATTATATATTGTTTCTTCGCGAAAAACAAAACATCCTTATCCATCGTATAGCCTCGATTTCGTTGTACGTGCCTTTCTCAAATAAATAATAAATCCTCGAGCGAACGGCGGCGCACCTATAATGCACGTTTACTCAAAGCCCCGGAGTAATTACTTTTTTGGAGTTCCAAGAACAGAGGTTCGCCTAGAAGCGGCACCAGCACTATCAGCATCCACCGCCCAAGGATGAGCTCAAGTATTTTTTTCCGAGTACCCATTTAATAATCTAAAGCCGTACTTATTTTCCTCGTATTCGCCATTATCCCTTTGGCTTTAATAAAGTACACATATACACTATTCCAACGCACACCGGTTAGCTCCTAATTGAATCGCTCTAACCGTGTGCTCGTCCTACATTAAAACACAAACGTTTTGCGGCGATGGACGAAAAAAAGAGAACTGCTTTAACGTTGTTGCGGGCACAGGTTAAAAGTTATTTCACTCTTGGGTAGGTCTAATGGATAACGAATTTACTTTTACTCGGTACAATTACACGCGAGTTACGGATATATAATTTAGCCCAGCCAAACTTCGGGCTACGACTTAATAGCAGTTTAACTTGTGCTCGAGCCCAACAGCTAAACGTCTGGCTGCAATAAGGGTAAAACGTAATTAAATAGTCGACGAGAAAGCAACCCGCTACAATACACATGGCAAGCTTTATAAAATATACACATACATATTTATTCATAATTATTTTTTATTTCTAAATTGAGGTATGGCAATTAACAAACGCTGTGTTACTCACTTTAATTTAACTTAAGTAAAATGAAAGCACTTGGGTGAATCAGACACATTTCAAAATTGTTTACCTTGCCATTAAGGAACTCTAACGTTAAGGAAAAATAACACATTAAAATGTCACCGACATAAAGGCAAGCAGCTTGAAGTTTTAACCCATATTTTACCAGATCGTATTAAGAAAACGCTTTTGTATTTAACAACCGAAACCCACTTATTTTCACTTAAAAAAAAAATGTGGAAATTATAAAGAATGTTTTTACGACAAGCTGTTTCCTGTCTGTGCTTAGGGACATCGTATCCATAACTCTTTACTTCGCTAAACTTCTGCCGTTGGCAAGAATAATAATTCAAATTAAGATGTCTTAGTAGAACATAATTGCCCCATCCCCCCAAAAAAAAGAACCATAGCCAGATTATTGTGAGGCCTAGGGCAATATGAAAAATGGGAGTTTCTTTTCAGCACAATATGACCTATCTATGTATGATATGGTGGGAAGTATTCTCCCGTCAGTAAATCACGTCGATCGTAGGGCATTGTACTTGAAGTATATATTATTTAACTTAATGTTCGATATGTTTTATTGTAGCTCGAACTTGCGTTAATAGTTAAATGACCGTTTCGGCCGCCTTCAGCAGCTGTCCGTAAAACAGTACCTACTGAGCAGTGGCGTATTTATAGGGGGGGGGTATGGTGGATAGATCCCCTCCCTTGCCCTTTTTTTTTTTTTTATAAGACTAGGTATAAACAGACTAGATCCCGTATTCTGTAATCTGTTAAGCGACATCCTAATCTACTTGTGTATATATTTTTAACAGTGTAATATATACCGATTTTATTCACATTGTTATCCTGTGAATTTGTAAGTCAAAGGATTGCAAGAGCTAAACCCAATTTTATTTTATGATGATAGACTATCTAGGGCAAGGATATGAGCATTTAGAGCATATTACTAGTTTTTGGGTACCCCCAAAATAACTTAAAAAGTCTATGATACTTTAAGAAAAAAACTAAGCCCCAAAAAAAAATATTTCATATCCCCCTCCTCAAGAAAATCCTATATACGTCTCTGCTACAGTGGAAAAAAAACAATAACAGATGCGCTACACATGTTTGTCCTTGCCTCGAGTAGGGACACACTCGGTAATATTATTTTATATTATAATATTATGCTGTTGTATTTGTTTTACGTTTATTTTAACGGAAAACAAGGTTAACGTTTGTCGACGGCGTACATGCGTTCCATCATAAAACGGTCACGTCGTTTGTTTTGCAGTCAACAATTTCCATTAGACCGAGCAATGGCGCATAAACGCTGTTTACCTATTTAGTAGCGTTTGTTCTATTTATTTTTTTCCACCGAGCGCCTAACCAGGAGCCGGGAGGCGATCCCCGGGGATTAAGTACGGCCCGGAAATGCAGGACGTGTTTACGATTTTCGATTTGAAACTACACACACACACACACTAGCTCGAGGGCAATACATATTATACATATACCTTTAGCCGTTTTCCCCTTTTGCCCTCGAGTGAAACACACAATGGTCGTTTGTGCATCGACAGGTAATTCAACACATAAAAAACGATCGGTTCCGAAAGGGTTCACACATGCAATGGCGAACGGCTGAAAATATATTATTACCGTCAGTACACACATACATACCTCGACCACTAGTTGCCTATATTCGGGTTTTTGTATCCGGTTCAACATGTCTTCGACGAACAAGCCGAATTGCAACTCCGAATGGGTCATGTTGTTGACGGTGGGCTGTTGCGGCAACGATTGATTCAACACCCTTATGCCCCTGGGCGTTCGCATGAGTATGTCCCACACTTGATTGTAAAACCTGTTGGGAACCCGACACCAGCAGCCCTCGATCTTGCGCTTGTGCAGCATGTTAACCCTGCGAAAACGACCAAAATCAATACACACCATAGCAGCCGAGGAAAAGTTAAGAGCAAAATACAAAATCGCTGTCAGGTGGACGGTTAGGTTAGGTACAAGTTCCCCGTCCATTTTTCTTTGAAGGGTACTAAATACCTAATAATCATTGTCGATACTTGAGCTCGTCACTTCCAATAAAATAAGCGTTTATTAGAATAAAAAAAAACTTGCTAAAGGCAGGAAGTTTGAAGTCGCTCAAGTGCTAGCCAGCAATGTTTGTTCTAAATGTATTTCAATTGAAAATCTTAGCTAATGACAAATAACGACTTCAAACCAAACGATCCCAGGTTGAGTATAAGACAAAAGTTGGAATCGGAAGGGTTTTCCAAACTTTCCTTGGGACACGATTTTGGCAATACTACTAAAAGCGAGGAAAATTGTTTCTTTCCAAAAGCTTGTCGGAGACTAATGATAATTGCTTAAAAATAAAGATCCAATTACAAATCGTAATCATTCATCCTACAAACTTAATTTTGTCCAAATTATTTATTTCAAAAGTAGCATAGCTCATAATTACTAGAGCTGGGCTTTAGTTAAGTAAATTCGAGATTAAAAAAATTGCTTTTATTCTACTACTAATCAATTTATTTAATTATGATTTCATTAATTTTCTACAACTAATTGAATTTATTTTATTTTATATTATTTATTTATTTTATTTTATTACAAAAAGATATTAATTTTTTTTTCTTTTTCAAGTAAGCAGATAAGTAAAATCTAAAAAAAAGGTTTTGGTATTTAAAAATTAATTAAGTTATATTTGTTTATATGAACAAATCATGAGTAAAATAAAATCATAAATAATTTTATATGTAAGTAAAAGTTAGTTGAAAAAGAAACTAAATTATTATTAATTAAATATTTAGTTCTACACATGTTTAAAAATGAAAACCGTACTAATTGTTTTGAACTTTTATCAAATCGGCCAACACTGGTTACAACTAGCAAGCCATTTTACTATTTTGAAGAAACCGCAATAACTAGTTGGTCAACACACTTGTGATCTTTGAAAGGATTTTATACCCCGGTAGTCTACCCTATAAAAATTATACCCAGGTATAATTTTTAGCGACATTGGGTTGCAAAGAAAAGCAATCGCTCGACGAAGCCGTTTGCAATGTGCTGACTGCTGCACTTTCATATTTTAGGCCGGGTTGTTTTGCGTGCAATACAACCATAAACGTCTTGAAAAGTGGTCGATTCGAACGGATGGCGCCGAAATGAAAAAAAGGACCGGCCCGGTTGCAGAAAAAGAAAAATGGGTCGTCGCTATGATTGATGTATCGATATTGATGAGTCGGCCCAGGAAATGGGTGCACCAAAACCAATTGGAAACGTGCCGAAGATTGACAGAAAACGAGGAAAATCCGTTGACTAATATGATGTATTACACCGTACTGAGTGCACTATGTGCACGCTAAGGTTTAACAACGTACCTAGCCAATCCGAGAATTCTATTTCATAAATAATTTATAATTGTAACTAGTTTAACGTTTTCATATGAATACTGGTTGTCACACGATGACGAATACCTACCTAAGTAAACATTTACATATTTTGTCACGATCGTCGAGGCGATAAATTCTGTATTCTTTGTACGAAATACTTTGTTACCACAGATCTGATCAATCCATAGAGCGTATGATTTATTACTGCTCTCCGACCGAAGAAGTTTTTACCTATTCATCTAACATCATTAATAAAAAGCTCAGACTCTCGTTACTTCGGTTGGTTTTTTTTTCTGGAATTTAGTTTACACAAATTTTTATCCCAACCCGTTTGCGAGGTAGAAACGTTTGAATATATTATAATGTTGGGTTTATATTGGTAATACTTTTTTCAATCACGTGTAACTTATTGACAATTGAATAACTAAAAAGCAAAGAGGTCAACAATTTTTGTTTCCGGTTATAGTTTTAAATATATTTAAATCTCCGATCGTTGTTTAATTTTGTTGTTATAATATATATAATTTGAATAACATTGTCTTTGACCGTTACCAATTATGTTCAAGTTGTGTGAATTATATTATATACAGTTTAATTTAGAAACAATAAAAATAGTATATTTATTAGTTATTGGCTACAATTTGTAAAAACTGCAATTTTCTAATTTATCCTTAATGGACCAAATGAGTTTAATTTTTGGAAAATTAAAGAGGAACCAAACATAGATTTCTAAAACTCATTAAAGAGTAATTCAAGTTCACAAGAACGTTTGTTTTAGTTCCAGTTCAAACGTAATGTTTTTGTTTAGTAAAATAACGATTTTAAACAGCAACTTATTGCTAAACTATTTAGGAACGAAAAACTCCATATAAGAGATAAAAAATTGTCTAACTCTAGACTACATCACTACACGGATTTCCTAAAAAAAAAAAAGAATATCGCACTTGGATTGTTCAATGGGCAACGTTAAATAAACTCGGAACTTTAATAATATTTGAACAATTTTTGTCTGAAACTTTGGAATAAAAGTTTTGTCGATTATAGTAGTTGCATAAACTCATCGACCGACACACATCCCGTCATGAGAATAACAATTCAACTTTTTCTATCTTTATGCAAATCCTATACAACACCACTGCGTGTCAGATCCAGCGTTGTATATAAATCGCCACCCAAAAGCCTTGTTGTTAAATATACCAAAGCAACTTAACGGTATCTATTCGGTTAACTCGGTTCATATATTTTTTAAGTATTTTTTTTTCGTATTTAAGTATACTGTACATAATTTATTGGGTACCTCATACCTAAGAATTACTCAGGCCACCAAAGCTTTTATTATACTACAACATTTTTTTTTTGTTTATTCTCCGTAAACTCCGAGAGAGTTTGGATAAGTGCTTAGGTCGTAATAGTGTACTTAACTACGGCTTTAGATCCAAGTCTCGGGTCAATCGGATGTACCATTGTGTGAATGTTTTTTTTATTATATATTTTTTTTTTCGCTCATACGCTCGCACTAGACGCGCTATGCGCCTTTCATAATGTCGAAGCAGCGCCTTACTTTAACTTATGCTTTGTTTTGTTTTTTCATTTATTTTATAACCCAATAACGGAATGTTCCTTTTTGAATTGTTTAGAGGGGAGTTGAAAAACCTAACACGTGCGCTGGGTCTTAAGAGATTCGCGAGACCAATAAACTAAAAAAAACAACACTCAGGACATAATATTATTATCTAAAACTATGTTTACGTGACGCGATTTTCAATTTGTCGGTAGAACATAATTCGCGTTGAATACATCATTTCGAAGGTCAACAAAGGCGCCAAAAAGCCGTTTCAAGCGACTTGTGCTTTGCAAATCGAAAATCGACATTAAGGATTATTTATGTACGGTATTAGTACCCGACGCGGCCAAAGGTAACTCAATAGTATTAATCACAATAACAGGTAAGTAGTATCAGGGGCAATGCATTTTAATGCCCAAGAAATTAACGCGTCTAGATAATAATTTATTATAGGAATAGAAATAAATGGAACAAATGCAACTGAACAATTCAAAAGTATATAAATACAATGTCTTTATAAATGTACAATGTTATTATATGTACATGTATTTAACACCAGGTGGTTAAAAATCGTTTAATTAAAGTTTAATATTTCAACTAATACAAATTTAGAGATTGCACTTACTCTGTTTAACTAAAGTTAGCCTACTTAAGTATTTAAAGTATTCAGTTCTTATACCCGTTCTAATGTTAGTTTACTTACCCTTCTTTTTGCGCCCACACTTTGACAGTCAATATTTTTTGCAACAGTTGCCTGATAGCGTACGGACTCAGATTTTCTAAAATTTTCTTTCCGTTTTCCGATTGCAGTTGCAATTTCATCGCTTCCAACACCCATCTGAAGACATTAATTATTTTATGTAATTATAACCATATTAATAACACAACGTTGGCTTGGCATTATGTTTCTTTCAACAACTTTTTAAAATATCGTTAGAATACATTTTTACTATTACTAGAATAGGTAATATATTATTGAAAAACTTGATTTTGCGTATAATTTAAATGCCTTTTGTAAATGTGTAAAAAAAATGTTAACGTTTGTAAAAACAAGTTTAAACAAAAAAAATATAAACTGTGTAGAGAAAAAGTTAGCGAAAAATGCCATCTTTACCACACAGTTAAGTATAAAATTAGTATTTATTAAAACACAATTTCCCAATGGCGTAGGTATATAAATATTGTTATATTAATTACTACCGGTTTCGATTTTTGGTTATCTTCAGGTTGTATGAATAAAAATGCATACTAAGTTAGAAGATACAAATATCAATTATTACAATATTTATGGTAGGATGACAGAATATGTCAATTTTTATCAATTTATGTAATCAGTTTTATGTTTTAAAATATATATATATATATATATATATATTACATAATGTTATGTTTTTGTGCAATTTATATTATTGTATGAATAAAATAGACTAAATGATTTTTATGCATATAATTAATACTTGGAAAATATTGTAAAAATAGCTTTTAACTATTTTTTGACAAAATAAAAATAAATTGTTACTGGGTCATAACTTGAAATAAAATTCGACTATTTTAAATAATCATAATTTTACCTTCGATATGAATCTAAAAAGGTATTTGTTTTTTTTATTAAAAAGATTTTTACGTTATGTCATGTGAAGCATAACAATATGTTGTTTTTATGTAAATTTAACATTTGCCCATTAAAATTCAAAGAGTGACCATATTTAAATAAAATCACGCCAATTAAGAGGACGTCATATAGCTATTTTTTTGATAAACCTAATATTTAACATTAACAAAATTAAATTTTTTTACATTTTTAAAAAAGCCATTAATTTTTTCACGTTGTTATTTTCAAAATCGGATACGACATTGTCTCCAAAATGTTGTTATTTTTCGATTTTATAATGTGTGTTTTTGCTATAAAACAACCATGGACAGAATGCGTTATACTAATATAATGCATTTTGCGTAGGACACTATGTTTAGATAAAAAATATTTAAAATCGCTGACAGATGCTGTGATAGTCCGAAAAATAAGTTAACTACCAAAACAGAGTTCTAATTACTAAACTAATTACTACACATTACAATTTAAGCTTTAAATTGAGATTTTTCAAAAAATTGCCTAAAGCTAACTCCTTAATAAGTAGCGGGTATCACGTCTTCTTAAGAGGACGCTACTCCACCCATTTTTAAGGAGTAAAATATAGGCAACTTTTCACAAAATCTTAATTTAGAGTTAGAACTGTATAAGTATAGTGTATTGAGGATACTGTATTGATTGCCATTTTTTTCGTCAGACTATCACAGTAATTTCTATAGGATAAATTACAATTTTTTTCACATCAAAACTGCTTTGCGAGGGACAAGTATGTGTTGAGGTGGCCAGTATTAACAATAGATTTGCCAAATTTTCACTATGTATAGAGAAGAACTTTATCTACGAGGTAGCGTTTTTATTCTTTTGATATCCATACTTAATTTTTTTTTTTATTTACAAATTAAAAAAGGAGAAACCAATGCATCTTTGCATCTTTACGAACGAACAATTTTAATTGTGCTTGAGTTGTCAAAAAAAAAACGCTATCCCGTAGATATAGTTCTTCTTTATCCATTGTAAAAATTATATACTGTTACTGTTAATACCGCCCTCGCATTCTTGTCCCCCGCAAAACTATTTTGAAGGATAAATTAAGGGGTGGTAGCGTCCTCTCAGCCATGGATATAATACTATCAGTTTGATGACTGAACTTTTATAAACAGAAATGTTTTCTTCGACTTAGCCGGTAGTGTTTTTGGGCATGACAATTTTTAATATATTTTCGATTGTTTTCTGACATTCACTCACCCCACTCGGATTTTGAGTATCCCTTTGAACATGTCCGGATGGGTGCCGATCAGTCGACCGCAGTACAAAATGATTTCCTGCTGGAGTACGGCCTGTATGACGTTGTACGGTTGTATGGTGGAATAAATAATGGAGTCTATCACGTCCGGCGTCATGGGCTTGTCGAATACCGTTTCCTTGTGTTCCACCACCCCGACGGTCAGCTAGAACGATAATGGCCATCGACATCGTTGTGTGTAATTAATAATATAATATTATTATCATAATTATCACCGTATTCATCGGAATGGCATACAATTCATAACGGCCAACAGCCAGTATATTATGTCTAATGGAATACCGGATAAAATTCGGTATTATGATGTGCTTTAGTTAGGTACCTGTTTGCCGTTGACCAACACGGCCGTGATAAATGGACTGATGCTGTCGACCGTGTGACGCAACAGACTACTGCAATATCTGACAGCTATCCAATAATGTAGACAGCCCGCTGTATGATACAGGTTGGTCAGTTGGGTATGGACTGTGAAACGCATAAAATTCAAATAAGCGTTTAGCCATAGTAATTAATCACACTCAACACAAGTAACTCTGATGTGTACTGTGTGTAATAGAAAATAACACACAAGTACCTATCGCCAGTGTTTCGTCGGGTGTAATAAAAATTAATGATAATAATTTATTTGATTTTCATAAAAACAAAAATTAGGATTAGGGGGCGAGTGGGTAATAAACATAATAAACATCTAAGGTAAATTATATATTTTACCTTATAATAATAAACATTGTTTAACGGCTAATATTTTGCAACACTTGGTTTTGGTTTTACATGTAAAATCTACTAATCATTATTTTTAATCGCATAAAACTTACGACTAGTTGATAATCAGCTTCGAATAAATATTTTTTAAGGTGAAAGATATTTTTGAGTTTAAGCAGCGTAAAAGGTGGTATAGTTTTCTTTTTAGAAAAAACCAACACTTAATATAGACCAACGTAATGACAGAGCGTATACGAAAATTAATTTTTTAAACTAAGATGAGTAACTTAACATTATAACTGATTTTGAAACATTCGGTTTATAAAAAATACAATACCTTTGCACTGAAATTCATAAGAGACTTGCGCATGTTTAACTCTTTGAGGAGAGGTGGTAAATAACTAATTATATATATATATATATTTAAAAGTGATGATCACATAAAAGTAGTTAGCTAAATACACCATTAGAATATTGCGGTTAGTTATTATTTTGACTTCTCACTTGTATAGGTGTAGCTTATATTTTTTTTATCCAATCTTTTTGTTTGTTTTATAGTATTTAGCTTGTTTCATACAAGTCTATTATTGGTGATATTTCTTGTCACCCAAGGAATGAATGAATAAACTATAAAATTTAATTTGTAAATAATTCACTTGAAGGTATGCAGTAACTTACTAGATGAGCCTAGTACTTCTTTTTCAAGACCTTCTCTCTTGAGCAATATCCCGTACAACTGAGCTTGTGAATATAAACCGACGCCCTCGTGTAGAACTTGGATAATCTCATTGGTACTTTGGAATAGATATTTCTAAAAAAAAATTACAGTTAAGCTAATAAAAACATAGTTTTTTAAAAATTATATTTTATCCAAGAAACTTTTTACAATGATGTGTTTTTATTTAACTTCGACGAGTAGCTGAGAAGGTATGGTTTTTACAATGATGTGTTTTTATTTTTTAGTGCCTGGACGAAGGACCCACGATATCTTTTCAACCGCTAAATCTATTTGTTTATGTAGCAACTCTTCATGTATAGAAATCGTACCAGTAAGGTATAGATCTATTTAGAGTCTTCACTATGACTCAACACTACTGTGATGACCTTTTTTTTGTCAATATATTTTTTTGCTTAGGTATTTCGATTATAAATTTAACACAAAAATTATTAATAATCATATTAATATCAACTCAATTAACTTTGATTTGTTAATTATAAAATCAAGTTATTGTTGCATTAATTTATACATCTAATAAAAGTTAATTTATATATATTTATAATATGTAAGAAAAAAAATTATATATTTTTAAAAAAAAGCTAATGTAAAACCTGATGATGGTAGCATTGCTACCGAAATACGCATATACACTAAATATAATATTAAGTACATTTTTTAAGTATAAGTTATAATTAGTGCTAAGTACGTATATTATTTTTTGTGGTGGAGTGTTTTTTTTTTAAATTTTATATTTCATTGTATAACCATAAATTGCTCAAGTTTTTTCTAGATTATATTTTATTATTTTTTGACATGTTACACAAATTAAGCCTATAAATATAATATCATGTTATTATGTCTATTGTATCAATTAAACAATAATATTTAAAGAACCTAGGGCTTTGTACATAATATTAAAAAATATTATTTTTCGGAATATTATTTTATAAACTTCAAACAAACGATATAGCTTGTCAGTTTTGTATTTTAAGTAGGCATGAAATAAAATATTTTGCGTCTTACCAAAGCCCCGAGGGATCTCTAGAAATAACACATTAATGTTTGCTTTCCTTACAGTTCATATTTTCACTCTAAATAACTGACAAGTCTATATGAAAGTGTTCTTGAACTTTATTTTTTTTTTTGACAGCTTGTGCGAATACATTCTATATGTACTCGACATTTTTTTCTTTTTCCAAAAAAATATAAAAACACATTTCTGTCAGTCTAAAAAAACTTTTTCTGCAAGCATCGTTCCATCGCTATCGGTTAACGATCAAATCGAAATTTCCAGGCAAAAAATAGGATTTTACTCAGTCAGGCGCACTTTGATAAAGGATAAATATTGCTAGAGAACACGTGTATTAGTATTAATTGTAGTGAGACCGAAGAGGGGGCAAATTGCCTTTTAAAATGGCATTTGTGTTTTTTCACTTGAAAAAAAAAAGGTAATTTAATTTATTTTAATACAACAATGTTGTTTACGCAGAATTGAAACAGTTTAGCTAAGTAATTATCTCAAAATTTACATACACGAAGAACACATAAACTCAGAAAACAGGACTCAACAAATTCGCATCTTTAACATAACAACTTTCAAAGATTCATCTAAAGACGTTTTAATTAGGTAATTATTTTCCACCTCTTCCGTTAGTCAGGCTTATTTTAGATGAACTTTAATAGACTTTGAAAACAGTAATTTAACATATTAGTATTTGATGTTATCGCAAATGCGTTGCATTTTAGAAATGTTATCTTGCATCCTTTTTAATGTATTTACCATTAGCCCGAATTCTGTGAAACATCTACCTACACGTCAAATGTTATTCAAAACACTACTCGTCTTAACGAATATTTAGAACACTTAGAATTTGTATGGAAAGCTCAATCTCGCACTTATATAATTAAATGTACTGGACAAAAGTAAAACGATTTATCATTTCAAAAACGACAAATTAGCTTAATAAGGATGGAACGTATCTTAGAGATAACTTCCGAGAAGAAAATCCTGAGAGCATTCAAGAATTTAAATAAAAAAATGAAGATAACAAACAGACAAATTTTTGATTCTAAACATAATATGAGATTAAATAAATGGCATATAGAACATATTAATTAATAATAAGTTGTAATCAAAAAGTGAAAAAAATAAAACTCTTATATTATCAATTGAATATACTAGGTTATTATTGGTCTTAGTGTAATTTATGAAAAGCCGAATTTAAGGAAATAAACTAAAGAGTGTCTAAATTGACTTTCAAAAAATCATTGGCAGTATGAGGTGTAATTATTTGGTTTTGTAATATCAGTAAGTTTTTGGTTTATGAATAACAGTTTTGCAGAGTTTTAAAAATACATTATTTATTTTCTTTTTAAATATAAAAAGGTTCAACCATAAAACCATTCCCAAAGTCGTGCCTACTCTAGTTTTCAGGGGTAATCGAGGTGGAACTATGTAAACGTGTTACAACCTTATTGATAAAGATATTTTAATAACAATAATATGGTATTATTGGATTTACCTGTATGTTAATGACATCTTCTTCATAGGCCACCGTTTTCGGTACGTCGGTCAAACTTTGGTAACCGCTGTAGTCGTACTCCAACTGTCTGAACGGCTGAAATTTCTTAGGAAACTGTTCAGCCTCGATATCGTTCATGAAATCCAAATGTTCTAAGTAATTCAGAATCATAATAGTAAGTGCGTGTCCTCGCAGGTAAGTTAGAGTCACCGACTCATCAGTCTTTTGTTCTAATATTACCCATGCAAGACGAGGAGAGTAAATTTTGCAACCTGCCTATTCGCACTTTGATACCGTCGCAGTGACCTTTCTTTAGCATAGCGAACAAATCCAACATCTCTTCGAATTGCGGATCTCTGCAACACAGTCACACAACCAATTCTATATAATATAGTTATTAGGTTTTAAGATCTCCTTAAGGATTTAATAAGCTAGAAAATCAACGATTGTAAATAAGACATATAGAGCATACCAGAAATACTATATACGCCACTAAAATCTCTGCGAGTCATTGGTTTAAGTAGTAGGGAAGAGGTCCAAAGTTACAGTAGTCCTAAAGGAGTCTATTCTCGATTAGAATGATTTAATTATAGAAAACCAGCCTTCACTCACCTCATGTGTTCTTCGCGGATCAATAGACAGACCGTGGGTCTACCTGACAACCTCCAAAACCGGCTGACGAACCTCAGCTCTGTTTTGATGTCGTCGATGAGCAGAGACATGTCGCGGTACAAGTAGAATTCGGATACTTCGAATATCAAAGGATAACACAATACTGTCATTCCACACACTCTGTACATCTATCAGGAGAAAAAAACAAAACGATAGTTTTCTTAAACGTTTAGCTAAATATTAATTTTAAACGAAATCTCAATAGCGTTTTGTTTTGTTTTTTTTCAATAAGACTATTCATTAACTTTAAAATCCTGATTGTGTCTGAAAGATGACTCTTAAAAAACGTATATAATTTCTAACACTGTAAATTATTTGAGAAATACACGCTATTGAAATGTTAAACATTTTACCGCGTATTAACCTTCTTAAATGTATGTCAAACAACGCTTAGAAGTTGAGCCACAGGTTTTATTATTTGTCTAATATTATATATAACTGGGCCAGCCTATTCTATACCATTGCTTTATTTATGTTTATAACATCCACCCACTTCTTCCTTGGTCTACCTTAGCCTCTCAATCTCTCTATTATAATATCTGTTAATCGTTTTAAATATTGTTTCCCCGTTTTCTCGCAAATCGAAACCATTTTAATCTATCTATTAATGGCTCGATTTTCGAAATTCATCTTAAATTACACTCCCTAACAGCACAAATAAAATGAAATTATCTACCGACTTCTATCGACTTCCTGATGTCCATGGTGGAGCCAATAATCAACAAAAATCCGAAGTCAAATATCGGTAAGTTTTTTGATGGTCTTAAGACTGCTCATGGAAATCAGTGGGTACATATTTTTTCCTTGTGCTGTTAGTGCTGTTGTGGGCACATTCCTAGTTCTGTCTAACCTAGTCACTTTAATCATTCATCTCGACGTATTCATTTCAGTTAATTCCAATTTCCTTTCCCCTAAACACATATGACATAACACACCTGTTGTCTTGTTTTACCTCGTCCAACCGCAATTCATTTTTGCTCACCATACCTTCAATTTTGTAAAATTATACTTTTGCTTTTATATTTGACCATAGAATTATAAAAACTGTAATACCACCCATTGACTTGCCACTTAATCGGCTTAGTTGCAAACAAACCTACAGCGATATAAATTAATCATCTCCTCTGCAAGTATGATTTACATCTTAAGACTATACATAATAAACAAATGATGAACTTTGAGGAGTTTATAGTTTACCTTGCTAGTGCCCAGAGCGCCAATCGGTCGTAACGGTCTTCCGCTGAGATTCAGTTTCTTATTGACGCCCAAATGTTTATATACCTGAAAAAAACGAGTGGCACGTTCATGTAATGAAACAAATGCATTGTATTTAAAGGGCGTGCACCGACCTTTACAAGCTCAGTTGAAGACCATATCTGAACCGGTTCGACTTCGTGGGGCGTTTGCGTTTGGATGCCGTACGTCGCCATCATAGCCTGCAGTCGCATCGACTCGGCTATCAGAACCACTTGAACGACCAAATCGGTAGCCGTGCCCTGCGTAGCCAAGGAGGTCGTGCAAAAGAAAAGAACAGAGTGTAAGTAATGAATAATAATGAAATCATGAGTTTTTATGCCGTTATATTCAACAGAATTATTTTTATTTTGACTATAGTTTTGCAACAGCTAATATAAAACAGATAGCCGGCAAAATGAGTTAAAAACATTATTGTTAATTCAACCAAAGAAATGGAAAACTTATTATTACAAAATGTATTATAATTAAAACTAACTACAATGATTTGATTGGTTTGCAAGTACAACAACGTCGTTTCGGCTAAGATTTCAATTTAAGTAGCCTAACCGTACATTATACTTTTTCAGGACGGTTTGGAGTGAATCCAAAACGAAAAGTTTGTACCGACCAGCCGCTGAGTCTGCTGAACGAAAGTATTAGACGAAGGGTAACCTAATAACACACTAACTCAATGGATTTTGCAGCCCCGTTTGGTTTGACAAATAAAAAAGTTCCAGAATTGTAATACTGACTAATATTTATGAAACATAATATACCATACAATAATAATTATTATTATTATTAGAAGCCACTAAACAAGTAAACTTTTGGTGTGCAATTTAAAAGTCCGTAAAAACCAAACATATAGTAAGAAAGATATTTTATTTACAAAAAAGATTATAATAAATTATGAGTTCTTGAGAAATAACCATTTTCACTATCACTATAATCATCTCTACCATACATAATATATACTAATAGATTAATAATTAAAAAACTAACATTATAACAATTTTTTTATAAATATCACAATATTATAAATAATTATGTTGTATAAATAACACAAACTCATGCACACTAGAAATATACAGCGGTACAAATGTATTTTACGTATAGACCCTTTGGTAAGTGTCACACACAAAAACAACAAAAATAGTGTTGGAAAGCGATAGATATGTATAATAATATGGATATAAAATTGTTTACTTGATGTAGCTAACAGTTTTTCAAGTTGAATTGTATATAATTAAAGCCATTTCGTTTGCAGAAATATAGAACTTTACTTAAAACAGTCGTTGGTTAAATAGCCCAGTGCAATAATATTTACAGTTATAGCTAATTTGTGCAGTTTAACATTTCTGTTAAGCATATGGACGTTAGGTAAAAAAACACCTAAGGTTTTGATGACTTGATAGAAAGTTAAATGTCTTTTTTTAATATAAAGAAAACACTATATTACTTTGGAGGTATATACAATTTTTAATTTAAGTTTTAAATCGGGTTTTTTTTTTGTATATTATACGCTTTTTCTTTTGTAAAATTGAGAGAAAAAAATCTATGCTCGAAACGTACATAATAAAAAATCGTTTAAGAATAATAACGTCGCTTTTTCTTTTTAGTAATCCTATTTACAATTCTGACCGGAGGCGTTTTGTCCCTTTTTCACATCGTTAGTCCAATTTCTAACGCCTTTTTCAAAACTATAGAATAGCCTTTTTTTTTTTTGACAGCCCGAGAGCCTGCTTCCAATTATAATGATTTACAAAACAGTAACGTGAAATCTTGAGTATTTTAAAGTCTGACTCATACATACGTGTTATGAAATAAAAACCACATTCATAAAAATGCTCACTTTAATTCGAATACTTTCGTGAGTAGGGTTTTTATTTAATTATATTAAATACCCCACAAATTAAACTAACTATTATGCTAACTAGCTGTAAACATTGATTATTAGCATATTCTATCTACATCGAACGGAAGAGGATTGGTTAATTTAAATATTATACTATATGTACAGAAAATATCACACAAACCATGCTTTTTTTTTCTTTCTTTTTTTTTAGCATTACTTACGGTATTGTGCCTGGTCTGCGACAGGTTGCGGTTTTATATACGCACATGGTAACATGACGTGAAACAAAATAATATAATAACTGCATACATGAATACATTGTGATATAGGTAGATAATATAATGATATACAGATTTTTTTGTTAGTTTCGCGAGTGTGTCTGACATTAAAACCTAATACGGTCGACCACCGTGTGTTCATAATGATAATAATAATAATATCGATAACGTGGCTAATGAACAACAGTAATTACGGTCATCAATTATCATTATCATCACGAACCTCGCCGGTCTATAATTATGATAATCACCTGAAAAGCCGAATAACGTCCCGGTCTCTTAGGTCTGTTGTAGGACGGTAAGTACCGGCGGATGGGATCCAGTTCATTCATGTGCAACAGGTTGGATGTGAGTAGTTGTGCTATTATGTACAGTGCCTGATTCCACAAGAACAACGGTTGTTTCTCGCCGTCTTCGCATTTGGGCCCGGGCGACCTAAGTTGACTGCCAGGGTCAGCTTTTTCATAGTCTACGTTCTCCTTGGTAACGTAATAGAACATCGGTATGAAAGGGTCTGAAAACATGCGGAAAGACGCAGAATAAAGATGCTGCGAGTACTCTTTATAGATTCTAATCCACATCCGAAGCTAAAAAAAATGCAAAGCTCATACTGTCACTTACCTCCGAAACTATCAGTCTTCATCACGTCTTTCAGCAATTTCTTGTACTCTTCGGTTTGTTGAGGTAAGTTTTTGAACACTCCGTCGATTATCATGTATAAATAGAACATTGGCCATTCATTTTCAATGTTTTCAAAGTCCTGAAAACCAAAATCAGCGTGACCATCCTGAAGCAGGTATATCACATCAGGTGTGTAATAACTATTAATCTTTGACGCCACATAAACTTAATTTTACAAAAATATACTACGCTTACAGATATAGGAATTAGATTATTGCGTCGACTGAGAGAAAAAAAAATACAATATAAATGTCTATGCGGCAAAAAAACGATAAACATTTTGTTCATTGGACCATCTTTATATTATCAGTCAAAATTAATGCTGAGAACAATAACCAGTTGGTTCTATACTTCATCAGGGAAAGCAATAACAGCTATTGTAGGTCGTGAAATATAATCAGTGATTCTGGTCAATGAGTCAACTTGAGTTTATTACTGACTATGTTGTTATGACCAGAAATCTAAGCCTAACCAACTTATACGTTTTTATTTACTGTTTTTAATTATTAATTTTGTAAAGAAATTAAAAACAACACGATTACGACTATACTCGTTATTTTCCATAACGCCTACATTTTTTTTTAAAAATCTTTTTCGCTCAATAATGTTTTAAGATTCAACACAAATATGGCGGATTGGAAAAGCGCAGTCCATTCATAACTTTATTTATGTTTGATCCTATTAACCGATACCACTTTGCCAACTATGAATTATAGTATAGGCCAGACTGTTTAAAAAATATCATACTAACTTGAGTTTCTCCGACGTTATAGTACTGCCGGTTCGGATCTTCAATGGCGCATTTGTAGCCGTCACGCTTAAATCGCTTGAAACCATACCGGCCTTGGAGCTTTTTCACTATGTTGGCTTTTGTATATGTGACCAGTATTTCTTCGTGGGTGGCAAACGCGGGATAGGAGACCGTGGAAATCAGCGCAGAATCGACAGCCTATAAACAAAGAAATTAGTCTCATGCAATCCAGTCATACCAGCTGGCAAACACAAATAGCCACCGTTATGAGTGTTTATATGAATTCTAAACTAATAATTTATTAATACTTTACTTTTGAACTGGATTCTCTGGGCAACAACGTCTCGAATATACTCCTATTTCTGTTGTGGGCATCTATGTCCACGTAAATCACCGACCACGAAGCCCCCTTGTCTCCAAACAGATTGCAACCGTTGATAGACTCCAAAGCGCTTTTTGCCATTCCGATAGAACTACAGTTAACGTACAAGTATAACACGGATTAAAAAATTTATTTTTCACTAGCTTTACGTTTTTCGGTCTAATTTTCATATCTAAATCTCTAAAACTTTGCTTGAAAAAGTGAAATAAAGAAAAAAATGCTATCCCTTCTAAGGGAAAGGGTTTATGATATTTTTTTGGTTTGTTAATGTTCATCGATAATACTATGTTTGAATTACTTATTTTTATCAACTGCAGATTACAAGATGTTATTTGATTATTATTTTAAAATCCCCATCAGTGTTAAGTGGAGTTAGCCAAAAAGACTAAAGTAGAAGGATGAAATAATAGAAAAAAACAGTACAGTGGGGTCAGGGCATAGTAGGAACGGAGCATGGTGGGGTCCGGGAGGTCACAGGTTTACAGGAATTTTTAAATCTGAAAGTGACAAAATCACCTCCAAAATAAACGCTTCGATGCAAATCAGTAGTTAATATTTTTAAGCCAGTACAGTCCAAACCACAGTGTAAACCAGCAAAGAAAGTATTAAATTGAGGTGCTGTACCTATTTACAAATAAGCATCAAAGCGTTAATTGAAAAAGATTTTATCCGAGATGACTAATACAATAGAGTATAGGCATAATGGAATCAAAGCATAGAGGGGACGTAGAGGTCACAGGCTACAGGAATTATTATACATAAAAGTGATCAAATTACTTTCAAATAAACACTTTCAAGTATACACGTGCCTCAAAAATCTTTAATATAGTTGTAGTACATAGACATAATATCTCTGTAAGCATGCATACACAGATGTACTATACAAACAATAAAAATAAAACCAATTCTTCGAATTTTAAACGGCATTTATACCGAATACCCTAAAAAATGTTTAATACTTTATCGTATAACCGAAACAGTAAGAAAGTATTAAAGTGAGGTCCGTGGTCTGCAGACTAACATCAAAGCGTTTATTTGAGTGATTTTTACCACTTTCATAAATAATAATTCTAAATTTTTCCAATTTTAAGGGTAATACAATGAACTTTTTAAATTGTTTAACTGCAAATCACTTTCAAATAAACGTTTTGATGTGAAGCTGCTTAAGTAGAAATACAAAATAAATCTCTTAAAATATTTTAACATAACACTTTTTCTTAACCCCTTCATGCATGACTTTTTATTTTTTTCCCAAAAAAATTGTACTGATTCTAAAATATATCAGGATTATGGGAAAAATATTAAAAAAATGATTTCAGCACAACTTCCCCTTAATTCTCCTCAAAGTTTAATTCGTGCCTAATATGGCACAACGCGCACCAAATGTATGTTTGTGCCACTTATGGCCATCATGCATTAAAAAACACAATTTTTGTTCGTGCCATATCTGGAACAATATGCACTCAAAACAAATGTTGTCATAATTGGTATTCATTTTTTGGCATTTTTTTTATTACTGACATTTATTTGTGATATATATTATATAAGATAATTAAAAAACATGATTTGTGTAATTATCATATTTTTTTTTTTAATAATGTAAGTAACAAATTATAATAACTTTTTATGCATGTTGTCCCATATTGGGCACACAATAAGTTTTTGTTGTAATTCAAAAACTATTATACTTAAAAAACTGTTCTTACTTTTTGTTATGATAGCATGAAAGAAATAGTTTTTACCCGACGCGGTGATAATATTTTCAGTTGTTTATTGTTCATCTATAATTCACAATTTTAACGCTAGATGAAGGTACTTTACATCAAAATGGGTCAGTTTGTTGTGCCGAATTCGGTCATCTATGCAGTTATGTCATAAATTAACTTCCAAAGCAACAAATAACAAAAAACTAATTTGTGCCATATACGGCACAACATGCACGTATAAGACATGTCGTATAAGGTTTTTTCCAATATGCATAATTTTTTTCCTTGTTTCACTTTTTGACATGCACATGTCTTATAGCTGGGGGTTAACCTGAACATTTCATGTCCGTCACTTTTTTGAGTCACGCTGGTTGTCACAAAATGAACTATGTTGACAACTAAATCGTTGCTAGGGAAACTGTTCATTTTACTCGTTTGTGTCGTGTGTGAGACAAATCCATGTGAAAATGTATCTGCGAATAGCGTGGATACTTTTTAATTTAGGTGAAGCATAAGGATTTTAGGTCTGAAAATAAGACCGAAAGTAGATCTAGAATGGAATTAAAACATATACAATTTCCTAAATATCTGTAGTCAATTTTTTTTTGTATGATGGAACCCTCCCCCCCCAAAAAAAAAAGGAAGACTACATTTTCACTGTAGTCAAATCACGTGAGTAACAATAAACAGATTTTGATTCAGCTAATAAGGACTTAAGTCGCATTAATTGGGAAGTCACCTGAACATCCATGTCAATTGACCAAGCTGCTGATTATTTCAAAACTCTACTTTTAGAAGAGATTCGTAATCGGGTGCCGTTAAGTACTTTTTATATTTTTTACTTTTTCGACATAGGTGTCATCCGAGTTAATAATCCTTTTGTGTAAGAAGAAAATTGCTCACAAATTATATAAGACGATTTCAACTCATAACCCCCGGGCGTTTTGTATAACACGTACTATAAAAAAAAAACATTTTTAATTAATTAGTTGGCCATTTTTTTGACGTATAATCGATTTATTGATTTTAAAATACAAGTGTTTTAAGTGTTAACAGACATTATTATTAGTCTACGTGTACATAATACAACTGTAAATCGTTACTTTGGTGATACAAAACTAATAATTAATAATTGTATTGCAAATAAAATTGTATTTATTGATTTTAAAAAATATATTTTTTAACAGCTTTTATTTGTGTATATTTAAGTGTGTTTCATATTATCTAATTTATTTTAGTCTAACTGTACATAATAAGATTGTAAAATAAAATGACACGTTGACGCATTTTAATTGATATCAAGTTGTTAATTTTATACTTGTTTTAAACAAAAATACAGAATATTATGTTAATTAATCTACACTGTAAATCTCAGTACTCGGTACTTCGCTGCTAATTATATTTTAATCATTCCTGATCATGATATTTCCTGTGTCGTTATATGCGAAGCCTAAATCTATGAACCAATTGCGCGACATAGCATCGTCTAAACAATCGATTTGGCTTCCTACATATTCCAGTATAGTCATTCCCTGCGGTATCAGCTGATGGCTCTTTTTGTTAGAATATTCTTCGTTTGGATCCACTGGCGACCTTTCACTGTAAGTCCGAGCGACGCAACGATTTGTTAATATCCTATGTATTTTCTTCTGGTATACACCCAAGAGATATCCGTTTACGGTTTTTAATACGTGATCGATTCCCTTCTGGTCGAAACCGCGTGTAGACCATTTCAACGACATACTCGGATGTATAGTTTCAGTAAAATCGGTCAATTCTCTCGTGGCGTCCAATAAGGTTAGCTGAGGTTCCAACTGCTGACCTAATGAGTAAATTAAGTTCAACGCGTCTCTCATGCATCTGAACCTCAACGACACGCTGTTGAGTTTGATCAGCACCAAATCAAAACAATCGCAATAACTTTTAAACCACGAGGCAGACGTACTTTTTACAGTTTGGCAAACCCCTATTAAATGTTCTATGCGAAACCTGTAGTTATAAATCATCTCGGCGTACTTACACATGAGCATATTCCAGATGTCCATGTATTTTTCCACGACGTTGGAATTGTCGATCGGGTTCCGGTTCGACAATATGGCTTCGGTTATTACGGATGCGGGATCCAACAAAACTGGGCGGTTGTTGATATGAGTTATGGTTAATACGTCCATTAACCGCCATCCAGAATGATGCACCAACCCGTTTAATTTGTTAGCTAGTTCGGTTTTTTGTAAATCGCTCATATCGTCCGACACAACGCGTGTAAAACCAAAAACAGCAACCCAAACTAGTATTGAAATCAACGTTTGTGCATGCATTATCGTAACGTCTAAAAAACAGCACACAACAGCACTAATCTATGGAAAAAAAATAACTGAAGAACACTGTGTATGAAAACTGCTATTTATTTGATTTTTTTGTTTAAACACACACTGAAATTATTTGTTCCCGTCGAGCTTTTGATTTACACGCAACATGACAAATAGCAAAGAATCAATTATGATTTTCCTCGTAAAAAAAAAAAATAAATAAATAAAGAGTATTGACACAGTATAGTCTTAATTTTATGTTCTGGCCAAACGTTTTTTAGTAGTTTTATAATTTAATAATGGGATTAAGTATTAATTGTTGATAGTACCGCCCATAACTGTTGGCTGGCGCTTTATTATCATGGACAATGACTGTTGTAATGACGATAGTAGCGAAACGGTGGACGGCTGCACCGAAACAACGACCGACGATGACGACCAAGTGCTGTTCGACCGACTGTGCTCGGTGGTCGGTCGGATCGAACGCAACTCGGAGGCTCTGGTGAACAGTTGTGATTCGCAGATGGACAAATTCGTCGAATACATTGAGAAGTGCGGTAGCGGTCAAGGCCAAGGTTTGCGGGCTTTGACTGTGTTGGAAGTGGCCAAAGAGTACGAGTGGAACGAACTGTCCAAGCAGTTGGCCGACATAAGGAAAAGTCTGGAGTCGCAGGAAGAATGCGACGGCGACAAGCCAACTGATGAGGAAGGGAGCGTTTGTTGCAATTCTACCGCGGCAACCGTGGTGGAGGGCGACGACTTCGCCTGCGGTCCGGCACTGAGTGAAAGGTTAGGTGATCAGATAGGATTTGGCGGCTACTGCGATGACGATGTCGCTCTTAGGCCAGAAGTCGAGCACTGTCGTCGTTAAGCTAATACCAACCAAAACTCCTTCGAACAGCCAAATATGTGTGCCAAATTTAATTCCGATTTCATATTAAAATCCCCCTTTAACCGTACCTTGCTCAGACGTCGAAAATTGTATTAAAGGGAACACTGTTTTATTATAAACAGAATACTTTTTATGTATAATATTTATATTATAAGACATTTCCATTTATTAAACAGACAAAGGTCGAATGTCAAAACGTTTACAAAGTTTTTAAGGGAGAAGATGACTGGATGAAGCTTAAAACCTGTACTCAACGACAAACAACTTACCCATCCGAGACAAAAACCCTAAGTGAATATGTGTCAAAGACAAAATTTAGAAGTAGCCAAATGTGTAAAATATAATTTTACATTTTACAAAACATAATACTTATGGTAGCTAAAAACAAAGTAAAAAGGTTTGAATCTCGATCCAATATTTATGTCTTACTTCATTACTTCTTGCGTAACCCAACTTATTTCATAACTCAATTATTGTATTATTTAGTTAACATACAGAGTTTTTTTTTATAGATGTGAAAATTAGTTTTCTATAAAATATACTATTTTTTTTTTGAGATAAAAGTGAACAAAAAATATCTGAAAAATGTTTTGTTAAATAAATGGTTTTAAGTAGTTATATTTTACAAATTTTAATAAACCAATGCAATGGCCCGGACTAATGTGATTAATTTAAAGCCATTTTTGTTAATTGGCATGACGTAACTGATGATTCTAGCATTTTCGCTTTTATCTGGGCAACGACCACAGACCAGCAGAACGAGGTCATTCCATTGACTGATCGACTCTAAATAATATTAACCGCATTACTTTGCACTATAATAACCGTTATCGATACGGCAATGGCGTTGTTTGATTTTCACTACATTAACCTATACATTAAAAGGCTACAATCTGTCTATATACCTACAACGAATAATAATTTATATTGCTACTATAATTTATATTGCTATAGATTTTTTTTTTAATAACACGAGTTATACCTACTACTAACACGGTTCAAGTAATTTTATTATCATTTGTTTTTCCAGTCCATTTATATCTTTAAACAAACGCGGTTTTCTCAGTTGAAAAGGTTTCTAATTAAAAGCAACTGATGTTAGATTACAGGATTTCAACTCGATTAAAAATGTGTTTTTTTTTTTGGAATTTCTGCGAGAGAACCAACATACAAAACAACTAAAACGAATATGCGGTAAACACGTATGAATCATTTACTTTACTGGGAAAATATGCAACTACTGTCGGTTTTATATCATTACCGTACTGTTCAAAACCACAATAACTCCATCAGCAATAGTATAATATTATATGGAATGTAAACCGCCAGAGGTGATCGGAAAATGACGTATCCCTTATAATAATGGAACCCATTACCTATTAACTGTAATGTATATTATAATAACGGGAAATCTTTGAAAATTACCTCAAGGAATTCTTGGAAATTCTCTAGAAACTCCGGTCGAGTTATTTGTATGGCTTTGTAGATTCCCGAGAGTCCGCGTACGATTTCGCTTCCGGCGCTTTACCCTCTGCTAATATTAAATCAAGTAAACCTACGTACAACACTGGTATATATCCATCATGACAGTAATCCTTAGTACCATTAGGGTATGGAATCATAATAACCTTAGGATTCGTTCAGATTCCAACGAACACCGTCGCTTCGCCGTATAGTCTTCCCATTAAATTTTGCGTTTTAACTTATACATTATTGGCTTTAAATACGCACATGCATTATGGCATCTGACGTATAACCTGCACGTTGTAAGTTCAAACTCTAAGGGATAGACCTTTGAGCCTCGGGGTGTGCCGAACAAACAACTGAACTTCTACGGAGTCTCGAAAACCTGACGGTTAAACTATTAAATATATTATCATAGCCTCGCCACATTTAAAACTTGTGTTATTATGATATTAACAAATATACGTCCGTAATATTTAAATTCAACTATTCAGCTATCATCTTAATAAAAACCACTATGCCCGGTAAATAAAAAAAGATTTGCTGTGAACGGTTAAGTTGTATAACTACTGACCTAACCTAACTCTGTTTAACAAATGAGGTTTTTAGGGTGACATAACGGAAGCCCCCAATATGAGATGATGATTGAGCCTATTTTATAAAAAAAGAATAATGGAATTAAGGTATTGTGACGAAAATTCTATGAACCACAGTGAGGCCAACAATGATGTAAGGAAATCATGTCCATGATTGGGCATTATTGAGTTTAATAGTTACCTTTAAACGAACAACTAAGCAACTTAAACAACAAAATTATTTTATAAAAGAAATTTTCAAGTAAACATTAACTGTTAACTTAATTTAGTTTAATTTAAATTAAACTTTATATTAACTAAAATACATTTTTTTTAAATTGACTTAGCTTGAACCAGTTAGAAAAAAATATTAACTTTTCTAAGCTAGGTAGAAGTGGGTATTTGATACTTAACAACAAAACATTGTCAAAAGTAAACACAAGTGGCGAAAATAAGAATGTTGAGATGGTGTGTACAGTAACTAGGTTACAACAATAGACAGGAGTATGGACGAGTATATTAGACGTAGTCAGAGAGTTAAACATTTGCAGAAAAAATAAAAGGATAGATTATGACAAGTTAGACATGTAGAAACGAAAGTGAAATGGTAAAACAAGTATAAGCTACAAGAGCGATGTAGAAATATAGGTAGACAAACGAAGAAGTGGATGGATTAAATAAATAAAGATAATATGGATATGTGTGCAGTGAATGTAGAAATGGTGACAGATAGAGTTATGTGAAGAAAGAGGGAGAGAGAGAAAGATTTTTCTGACCATCCCAATTCGTATAGTATTAGGAGAAAATATAGAAGAAGAAAATTTAGAACTACCTACTTAAGATAAGTAGTTTGAGTATTTTTACAAACAAATTGTTATACTTTCAGCAATGAAATTTAGACTTTTCTGGCACCACTCCATCTGCTATTTTAGAGTAAATTTATGCATGACATATATTATAATTTTTACTATACATGACAAACTTACCTAACCTAACCTAACATAACCTAATTAGAAAATTATCGGTCATATACACTTATCTTGCTAACCAAAGCTAACCTAACCTAACCGAATTAATACTTAATTTAAAATTATATTATTATTTCACTGGTAGATTCTATTGATTTTATCTCAACCCAACCTAATCTAACCTTATTAATTAGCTAACTCGTTGGAATACAGTTTAAAAATTTAAATGCCATGCTTTATATATAAATTCTATATACTATTTATAGATACTAACCTGGCATGGATTTCCGGCGTGTTGTCATTGTAGGAACTTCCTCTCTCCCATACAGCGTAGTCGGGCGTCCGGTAAGCGCGCTCGATGTAGTACACCAAGTTCTGCACAAATGCCACTTCGTCCTTTGTGTAAATTATCTGCAAACCCGAGGTAGTCATTTGGACTAAATATATCAGGTACAGCGACACCACGTCAACCTATAAAATTAGGAAACATTTAATCAAATAACGAATATAAATCGAATAAATGATGATTCAAAAAATAACAAACTTGTTCTAACAAGAAAATTATAAATAAGTACATGATTTTTTAATTCACTGATTACTTTTTTTTTGTATAACAAAATATAAATTACAAAAGAAGATTTTTTGTAAATAAAAAAAAGGCAGAAATTTATAAAATATTGTCATATAATGAGGAAACAATTTTTTTATACAAACATATGTGACTATGCACCAAAGTATAAAGTTAGTATTAGTGTAGTCTTATACAAAAATACAAACATGACAATATGAATGATAAAGATATTATTAATTTTTTTTATCTAATCAAATTATTTGAAAAAAGCACAACAACAAAACTATTCGAATAATCAATTTTTTTTTTTTTGTTCGTTACCTGACATAAATCTCATAAAAACAAAAAAATTAGACCGACGTCTGTAAAATGTAAAGTTAGATGTCAATAAAAAGCAATTGCACGAGTGCAACGAAAACCGAACATGGTGCGCAGATGTAACGGCTGGCACTAAAAAATACATTTTTATAATAGACGCGTCTCCAGGATTTATGGCGGAGGTTTCACAGGTAAACGGTGAAGCGGGGGAAGCTGTGCTCCTCTCACATCCTGTAAGAAGTCTTAACATTAGCGAACAATAGTACTATGTTTTATCATTACGGAATCGTCTGAAAACCGCGAACGGGGTCGTCTGATATACAATCGAAAAAAAACATTGGCAAGTGTAATCTTTGAAAATCGACAGCGATTTCGAATCAGAGCCAAACGAAACTCTATTCGACGTCACCACGGTAAACGGATAGGACGATTTGTTATTGCGTTTATAGCCGTACTTGTAGGTGAGGGTAACCCTCGTCCGAGTAGAGGACATCGCCGTTTTGCAAATTGAATTTAGAGTGCAGGGCGTACTTGCTGCACTGGTGTTTCTTGAACCGTTCCACTTGGTCGGCTTGTCGGATCCAGCAAGCCAATATGCCTCGCATACACTTGACGGCGGACTGACCCAGTTCGTATAATTTACCTCGGTCATCGTCGATTCTCCTGCGAAATGAGAAAACCTCATGAATAACATAATATGTATGCACGAGCAAACGGATCGCATTTTGTTTGTGTGTATGTGGCTTGTACCTAACTGATTTTAAAAATTTATCTTAGCAGTCTACACCACGTTATGCATATTGTACTTTCACCCCTCCCTTCTATCTCTCTCTCTCTCCCTATATTTATGCTTGTACCTGTAAGCTTGAAACAGACTCCAAATGGCGGCTGCACAGTAAATGCTATCCCTGACGCTGGCCTCGTATTCGTCGTCAGACAGCACGGGAAACAATCCGGTAATCGCACTCTGATATCTGAGAAGTTGTCTTTTCACTGGAAAAGAAAATGGGGTAAAATGTTACAATTTTGACGTTGACGAGTCAGATAATCGCGGGTTTATATTATTTTAAAATAGAAAATAAAACTGATAATATTCTCCTAAATAAACATCAAAAGAGGACTTAAGTTTCTCAAATGTGATTTATTTACTACCGATTTGTCGATAAGGATTTTAAAGCAGTAATAAAGACATTTCAAAGAAAACGCCTTAATACGACTCTGTAAATAGTTAATTTCGTTTACTGTGTCGACTTATACTGTAAAGTTTTCAACTTCGGTTTTTTTACGATTGCTATCCACAGAATAACATAAAATACACTCAAACCCATCGACCATCTTTTTTTAAATTAGGATAATTTTAGAGCAGGGAGAAAATTTGTATATAATTAAAAGATAAAATTTAAAACGAAAACTCTAAACTAACGTATAAAAAAATATCGTCGGGCTTAATTAATACTACTTAATACGCAGTAGGTTTAATATGGAGCCAAGAAAGTACTGTATTACAACTATATACAGTATAATACTGTATTGTTTTAAATAATGATTAAGATTACACAACGATTGTTGATATTTAAAAGATAAAAAAAAGATAACGACCTAATCTGTAAAAGTATACTACGTTCAATCGTGTCTTCATTAACGTCAAATTCAAGTTTTCTAATGTAATTTTAAAAGCGGTGCAATTAAAAATTATTATTTAACCGTACCAGAAAAAAAACAATGTGCTTCTTGTTGGGCATTTTTATTTTCTTATTACAACTACAGAATTGTTAATTAAAGTCGGATTATGGTTCTGGGTGTAATGTAGCGACAAAGGTTGTACACCAAAAGCATAATAATGCGGTCGAAAAGTTTTCTTGCATTAAACATTTATTATACCTATTATACGAAAGCTAAATGCTCGGTTTCCAATTTTCTCAAAACGATAATACTACAAACGTCAGGAGATTATACGGACCTTCTCATAATATTCGTCTACATAATATATATATATATAATTCAAACTTAATAATTGTTTGTAATAATTGATTTCGGTTGTTATGATGTATTGGTATCAGTTTTTTAGTAACTCCACTAGGTATTGTGAGTTATTTGTGCAAAAACTAAACAGTTTTTATTGTATACTTTCTATTGAATTTGTTTTACCTAGCATGACTTGATGTATAAAGGTATTCAAGTAGTACAAACTTTTTTGTTGGGTGCATTACTCATTAAATAAGAATAAGTAATTTTACCGGCTCTAAGAAAAATAACAACAATAGAAATTGCGAATTCTTAATTAAAGAGCAGTACAGCAAAATTGTATTAATCTTTGAATAAACAAACGGCTATACAAGTATGTTGTAAAATTAAAATAAAGTATACAAATCAAATTAAATCTAGTTACGCAGGTAATAGGCATTTAGATAATATTTAGTTAAGATCTTATTTTTCAGTTTTTTAAGTTTATAAAAAAATGTTTATCGTGCCATCGCACATGTAAAGCACAAAACTCAATAGTTATATTGTCTACAAAAGTAGGGTTTACTTAGTTTAACCCAATTTCCAATAGTGAGAATCTATAATCAAACCATGCCAATTGTCAAATCTTCCAACCCGGTAGCTCGGCTATTTTAGAAATTGCAAAAACCAATGTACTCACTATAATTCACAATTTATTACTTCTTTTAATTACATTTTTCAACAAAATAATTAAAATTTAATACAAATAATTAAACTTTATAAATTATTAGATTTTTAATTTTAAGCTAGGCGGTTTTTTTTATGGTACCTATACTACCTATAGTGTATATAGTAGAGACTGTACTCAAAAAAGTTTAACGAACAATTCGAATATGTCATATTATGTCGAAATGTAACTTTTTTGATTTTATATTTATATTCCATTTTAATTTTACAGAATAATTATTATGCAGCCGTTCGTTTAATCAAATTTTACTCGTGAAGATTTGTGGCCTGGTGCGGCCACAACCTAAATGCACTGGGCTTGGCTTATGAATACATAGCATGCTATGTACCTTGGACCGTCGGACTACTTCATAATTTAAATGTGGTTAGCCTTTATTGTTATAACAAAGCTCCGGCTGAGGCTTTAATGTAAAAGCGCGTCCAGAAAAAGGTCGTTTCGGGTACGGTCGGTAAATGCCGAATTATTGACGAGGCCCGACGGCTACTGCGTGTGTATATACTTATACTTAATGTACTTGTATATGTACATGTATATGATGTTTATAAATAGTAAAATATCTTTTCGCAGTAGTACACCCGTATGGATAACCTACCCTAAAACCCGCTACACGCATGATTTATAGACTCTTGCATATACAACATATGTGAACAGTAGACACTTGTAAACATTTTATACTTACTTACGCACAACATATTAATGATTAACTATTATTGTTCGAATGACTTAGATCGGCCAGCGGAAATTCTCGTTCGGTTTTTAGAGAAAGAACGAATTGTCTCCTCTTGAACCTTAAATTGTTTATTGTCCACTACGCGTGTAAACTAAGCTTTGACGTCAAAATGAGAGGTTTGGTATTATGATGTGTGACGCGGTCTCGAGAGAATAGTTGTCGATTTCGAGGGGAAAATGGTCTTTAGAATGTATGCATGTAAACACAACAATAGACAAGCAGAAAAGAGCAATTTAACCCGTGTAGAGCCTATAGAGTATAGCGAGGAGCGATTCGGAAAAAAGGCTATGAGTTTGCTAAGGGTTCTTCTTAAGTATTTGTTTACACTAGTAATGGACAGATATGCTCGAAGAAAGACACGTGGAGGACCCGTGTCTACCGATCACAACATGTTTACCAATTGGCAAGCCGAAAGAAAAGTAAAATTAAAAGTATGTATGGACTTTTAACTAAGTTTCAATGATAATCATATTCCCCAAAACCGGTAATCTCAATATTATGCCCCAAACCCAATGTTTTAGCTTTATAAATAATTTATTATTATTATTTTATCAAATATTAATGTTATAAATATATTCAAAAAGAAACAATGTTAATTATTTTTATAAAAACGAGTGTCTGAAATAATTTACCTAATAACATAATATATCAATTTTATGTAAAATATTTTTTTTGTGTCTGTATTGTATCCCACTTAGTAAAAAAATGGTAAAAAACCTCATTTTTTTTTTAAATTAGACGTTATTTTGTGTATGACAAAAAAGTGACGGTAAATTAGAAAATCAGGTTAATCCGAAATAAAAAAAAAGGTTTAGGTCTAAAAGCGGTCTAAGATAATTTAATCCCCATAGGCATTAATCGTCACGTAAAGCTTGGAAACGACAAAAAGGTATTGTGATTTTCACCTTGGATTTGTAATATATTTAATCCATACACATATTTTTAAATCTATCTGATTTTTTTTTTTTAGAAAATTGATATTCGTGTATTATATTATAACAGTGTGCGATTGTATTTTCCAAGGGGTTTTATTTCCGAATTTTATTATTATAAAAACTTATCAACCAGTCAATATTAAAAATTAATGAAAAAAAAAAAAAAATGTTGACTGGGGGATTTTCAATTTTCAACACTGTTTTTAAAGTTAAAAGAGTTTAACACACAAATAAGGTGCGGTTGGGAAGGGCGCGCGGATAAAACAAGTACTACACACCATCTCTCCTTTTGCCCTAAACTTGAAACTTCAATAACTTAAAAAATAGTTATCCGAAACTGGTTATCGACCGGGCAAAATTGTTATCACATTATTCTCAATTAAAAAAAAAAAAATACATTTATACGTTACCATTTAAGTTTTAAAATTTGTTATCGAAAAAACTAAGTTGGGAGGGGGTAAAAACCAAAAAAAAATGGAGATCACACTGCATTAAAACATTATGAAAAAAAAAATTATTTCTAAACCCTATGAGATATTGAGTAGTACACGATACAATGATCACTCTGTATATAATATGTGCGGTATTCTTCAACAAATAATTGTTTTTTTTTTATATATATTATTTTATTTATTTAAAATTTTACCTAATATAGTCTCTCAAGTACCGTGGGTAACCCATAAAAATGTGTTTTGACTGGTTGTATATGCATGATGAGGGGATAGAAAATAACCACCAATCATAAGACTAGAATTTACATAACTAAACATATTTTTGCATATTTCGGTGTTAAGAGGATAATATACTTGCTTATTAGCATTTTACTAATTAAAAAAACGCACTGGTGCCTACCCTTTACGTTTACTTTTATGAATTATGACAATGATATTTTTGTAACATGTAATTTGTTTTGTAAATTTATAATCAAATAAATAAACAAAAAGCGTTTTTTTAATTTGTTTTTTTTTAAATAATATTTTGTTTTCTACTTACAAGTTTTTTTTATTAAAATGAATCCTAAGTTTAGATACCTTTTTAAGGAAGTAGACAGTTTTAGCGTAAAAGTACATTTACATAAAATTAAATATTAAACTTGACTGGGAAATGTGAAGGCCATTTTATTTTGCTAGTTCACAACCCATATGAGAATATCTCCCTATCTCTTATTTTTCTTGCTGGTGCCATTCTCAAACTCTCTCTTCTTTATGCAAATTATCTTTATCTAACTTAGTCATTCTACACATCTATTTAACGTTCTTGCTACAGCTACGTTACTAATGACTACCTCTCTTGTCCAGTTCTTTGAATTAGACTAGAGCTTTTTGTATAGGCCTTAAGCGTTATGTGGGCTTTTTTTTAATCATTATTCACAGTTTAAAAAGTAGGGATTATTAACTTGTAATTTTTTTTTTAGGGGTAACTGTTTTTCAAATGACTTCCCCATTCACATAACTTGTAATTTACTTTATTTAGATTTGTTTCAAATTAATAAAGCAACGATACTCACTTAACTATATCAATAAGATCTGATACCCAGGTACCCAAAAAACTATTAAATAACAAGTATAGATTAACATTTATTTTTATAATAATTATCTAGTTCATACAAGTTAAATTGGTTAATTGTGCTTTTTATAGGTATATAATCTGTTCTCTAATATCTAATTTACTATATGTACAATAATAATATAATAATGTACTATAATACTAATATAATCATATGAAATAGGTACACTGATAATTTATTAGTTTGCACTTTGCAAGCTATTATAACAATACAATGTCTAAAGAATATTCCGTACGAATATGAAACTAAAATAATTCGACTGTTTTCAAGATCGTTGTAAAAACAACACCTCCTTGGCTCCGCATCGAAGCTAAAAAAACGTATATCGATAACCTTAGGCCCTAAGGCTTAGGGCTTAGAGTACACGTGCTATGTCCATTTTTTTCAAAATCGTGATTTTGGGTTCATTCGATTAATTTTTTTATCACGAATTCAGGGGTACCAAAATCACGATTTTGAAAAAAATGGACAAAGCACTTGTGTGCTCTAAAGTATCGATATGTACTAAAAAATGGATAGTAGACAGTATGATGATAATGTACTACTTTTAATAAATTTTATATAAAAACTTTTACCTATTACAAAGAAAGACATAAAAATTTTAAAAGTTAAAAATTAATTTTTAGTATTAACGTGGTTACGATTAGGATTGATTGTCTGTAACAATATTATAATGAACTGTTGATTCACTCACAAATAGTAACCTGGACTATGACTACGGTCATAGTGTAATTTTCCCCTTTTTTGGGGGGTTTTTTCCTTAATAAGAAAAAAGTTTGACTACGGTTTTTTGAGAAAATTGTATACGTTATAGTTTTGTTCTAGATCAACGTTCAAATGTTCAGACCTTAATCCCAAAAACTTTTCTGGAAAAAGTGAAATAAATAAAAATGTCTATCCCTTCTAGGTGAAAGGATTTATGATTTTTTTTTTGGTTTGTCGACGTTTATCGATAGTACTGATCGAAATTATATGATCAAAGAATATTCCATAGAAACTTTGAACTAATACAACTATTTTTTAAAAATATTATAGAGCACCGTAATTTTAATTTGAAAAATATGTAAATTTCTTTGATGTTTTTCTCGATTTTTTAGGGGAAAGGGGTGACTTTTAATAATATTTGGCCCACTAAAGTACGTTTCGGATACGATTTCTGATCTATAAAGTTGCTACCCGAAGAAATCGGCTTAGCGGTTCGAAAGATATCGTTGGTCCAGGCAGAAAAATAAAAACACATCATTGTAAATACAAAAACCTTTCAGCTCTGCATCGAAGCTAAAACACGGTCATAATAAAGTTTCCTAATATGGTACAATATGCAATATTTAAGAAGACAATTTATTTTGAAATATCATCTATAACTGTAACAACAACAATATTATAAGGTTATAACTGACCTATTCCGTAGTATATGTCCAAGTGTTTGACGGTTTCCTCGTAGTTGGATATTTTCAGATACAAATCTATGTCCGAGTCGAAAAAACTGCCTTTGTTCGCGCTCATTTTCGTAGGTCGCCTAAAGGTACTTGGCTACGACCGGCGACTTGGCCGTTAATCACGGACAATATATTTGTATATTTTTTATATTAACAATAACACCTAAAACAATAGCTACGTGTATTACATTATTTTTACGATTACCCGGCACAACGGACGGACTATGGCATATACGCGCCGTCGGACACCAACTGCGTCGACGCTGTCTAAATATATAAAATTTATCATTTTTTTTTTTTATATTTATTTTAGCATTCGGCCGACAGGCGACGAGATAAAAACGAATTCAAGGGGAAGGGCGGCACGAGCGATATTAATATAGTCGCACGTGAACACTTACAATACTACAGTACTATATTATACTACAGTGTAATACTACCCAGTGACTATCCCAGTGCATGTGTACAGTGTGTAGAATGTGTTTGTGTGTGTTTATCAAAGCCGTATGGGTACTATAATCGCGGTAACGACGGCTACTGTTGTTGTTGCAGCTCGGCTTGTAAGTTTTAACTGCGTACAACCGACTGGACGACCTACTGGAAATAGTACGTGCTCGACAAAAACTTACTTGGTGCGTGAGGAAATGCATAATAATGCATTCAGCATACTTAAAACGGAACTGCCACGACCAAAAAAAAAAAAAAAAAAATAGTTTTCAGCAAAACCCATTTGAAAGATGCAATTCGCCAGGGTTGTTTAGTGATATTAAAAATTAGTCATTGTAATCTGAGAATTCGGATTTTTTTTATAAAAACGCTAATAAAGCCACTTAAAAATCGTATAAATATTATTTAAATATAAAGCTGTGTACCTAAGTAAAGTGTTTTGATGATGAAAATTAAAAAAAAAAACGCTTAACTTTGAATATTAATTGCTTTCGGATTTATGTTTTTGGTGTTTTGTTTTATTTTTACATTTACATTAAAAATATTTTACTTAGGTACACAGCTTTACATTGTAATACAATTAATACTTAAAATTTTAAGTGGCTTAAATAGCCTTTTTTCGGATTTTCGGATTTCCATCACTATTTAAAATATTACAGTTTCTAAACTTAATAACTAACACTAATACTAACTAGCTCCACACTTAATTCACAAACTTGATAATAATAAAATATAATAAGTAATAACTGTTAAACTAGTACTCAGGGCTGAGATATCCTAGTTTTGGCGATTTGCTAATAATTGAAGCTGGAAAAACAAAACTTGTGGCACCAGTACCAGTCTGATTTTCAAATAAATTATTTATTTATTCTTACTATTATTATAAACGCCATATTATTGGCTTAAGTACAAGTAGTAAGATAATTAAACTTTTAGAACAGTAGATATACAATGAACATTTTGTACGATATTGTTCACATATAATAAATTTAATACTAACTAAATTTTAATTTTAATATAATTAGCGACCGGTTAACTGGTGATGTAGTATGTATGTGAATATGTAGTTTATCATATTAAACTGTAAAGTGATGAAGGTCAGTTTTTGTTCTTTTGATGCGAGTTGAATTTAATTTGATATATTAATTATATCAAATTATTGATAATTATAATATTATTTATTACTATTTACTACCAATATTCAATAACAAAAACAAACATATTATTACTAATAAGTAATAACAATACTTAAACATTTAGTTCTCTTTGATCTGCCGACATTTATGTACCTAATTATATGATAAAAATAGACTATACATTAACAATGGTTACATACAGCTTAACACATAAATAACAAATAAAGTTTAAATAATTTATCATTTAGATGTCAATAATTATACTATAAAAACACAATACAAAAAAATATATTAACAATATTAAACAATTATGAAAATTATTCTTAAATAAAGTATTATAAGGTACCTATATATTTTTAAATTATATAATGGTTATGTATTTAGATTTAATGACTAACTCAATTGCATCTTGGCCAATCAGGGTCAGAGATATGTCAGCCATAATTATCCATCTATAGTTAACAAAAATAATTTTTAACCGTCTAAGGATCAGATAGCATAATACTAACATGTAATATTAATATTTGTTCTAATTTATATGTTCACACATTATCATCAGTCCAATTTGCAGCTTTTGTGTCTATAATCTACTCCAAATAAAGAACATGTTTCCACCCCTTCTAAGATACGACCTGGTATGCATTTTTTAAAGAAAAATTCACTTTTATTAGGTACTTTAGGCAAAAATAGGCTTATTATTGTTAAGTGCTACCTATGAAATGTCATCTTACGGACTACGATATCATGTTTGACATTTCAAGGTAAACGCAGCAATGATCTACTATTTTCCCATGGAATTAAAAAAAAAAAATTAAAGCCTATTGTTACGATCAGTGTGTCGTGTAAGAGTAATATTATATTATACTATATAGGTATCATAAATAATATAAATTACCTAAAAGTATTCACTTTAAAAAAAAAACGATAAACGAGATTTTTATCAATAAATAAAAACAATTGTTATATTATTACAATTTGTTAATACATACTAGAATAGTGAATACAATTTAAATTCAAAATTATGCCAATTTACTTTAATTGGTATCCAATAACACCCAAGTCCCACAATTTTGAAAAATAAAAAAAATATACCTATAAGTATTTATAAATAATTATATTAATAGTTTTCACATCATAGGTCATCGTTTCTATATAATGTTAGACTTTTGAGAAAAATGTTTTGTAATCGGTTTCTTACATAACCTAGTGGAGTAGTAAAAATACTCATATATTATCTCTTTACATAATTGATCTCAGACTATTCTGTTGGTTATGCCTCAGGTTATTATCAGGCTTTTTAGTCTAAAATACCTCCAAAAAAGCGTTAACGCATTGGAAAATTTGTAAAATTTAAAATAACACTTTGAAGCTTACACAAATTAATTTGTAAATAAATTGACATGGTCGAAATTTATTAATATCCATTTTTTTAAATATTGCCTGTATAAAACTCCTTAAAACCCGTCTGCTTTTAATCATCTTTAATTATAATTTTAATTGTTCTAAAAAAAAAAAAAAAGATAATCCACACCAACACTGACAGTGCAAGAAGCTACAAAAATAAAGTTTAACACCAATATCCTCGATAGTTTGTCGGCATTATGGCTTCTATTTGGAATTACAACATTTGTTGGACTAGACTATAAGGATCCAATACACAAGTTTTCCGTTGCCCGTCCATTACCATTACGTTATTCGATATACCATATTCTCGATGCGGCTAACAAATTCATCATTTTAGTCCATAAAGCAATTGAACAAAAAATCCCTAACTCAACCCTAGTACTTCTTCAAGATTTTTTTTTTGTAAAAATTCCATAATTCCATATTAATATTATTTATATGGAAAATTTTAATTTTCAATTAAAAAAATTCTAACTTGAAAACTAATCAAGATTTTTATAATTTACAAAATGATTCTTAAAGCCGAAGCCTGAAATACTTCAAATTCACTCTCTTGGTAATTTATAATAAAAATTGTTTTTATCAAGTTGCAGCTTATTGAAACATGATAAGTGATAACTGGCTAAAAATACAATGTTACGATATATCAAATGACAAATTATTATCAAAAAAACGATTTTCAAGTTTCACATTATAGCCTTAGGAATTTTTTTTCAAACCAAAAAAAATTATTCTATTTTTATGTTGGAATTTGTCTAATTAAAAAACTAAAATTTCCCATGTGTCAAATGTCAAAAAAAAAAAAAGTATGAAGAATTACTATTGATTCAAATAGTAAGAAAAACAAAAAATATAAGAAAAGTAGCTAATGCTGGGAAAGTTTCTTTTTTTTGGTAATATTACTCTGTGATAAAAATGTTGCGTTAAGTTAGAAAGTTGGAGCATCTTAAAAGTAAAACTTAAAATCCATAACGAGGAAAAATAGTTATAAATTTTTAATTTTCATATGCGTTCAAGTTTAACATCAACCAAAGCTCTTAATAAAAAATTCTTAAAACATAATTCATAAATAATAAAAAAGTGGTAAAAAGTTAAATCAATTGAATTGTAAGCTGGATTTTTTTATCTTGTTTCCCTGCAGATTTTGTATGAATCGACATAAAATAACATCTGAAATACAGTAACAGTATTTATTATTATTTATTAATAATATTATTTAATCATTATGATTTATTATCACATGCTAATATATAACTTTACCAGCAAGCATATTACAACCTCCTAATCAATAACTTAATATCCAAGTTCTTATTGAAAACTTTAGTGACATTTGTGTCAATCAACTGCTCTTCCTGGCGACATTTGAGTGATAAGTAAGATACTGAAAATCGTATACGATGGAAATTTGTATTAACAATTATAACTATAATTTGCCAACTGCAATATTAAATCATACCTTCATCTTCTACTACTTTTCACTCAACTTGTGGCTCCACAGACATTTTTAGCGGTAACTAATAGTATATTAATATAATACCTAAATTCACAATATTAGATTACAATTGGTAGACCTGTTGTACCCCACAGGTCATCATCATAAATATAAACATCTGCAAAATAAAAATCACATTCTGGTTAAAATTTGAACACAAATAATCAACGATGTTCAATCATAGTAAACAGTGGGGTATTTTTGGAGGGGGGTGTCCACAGTGTCTGGACACCCCCCTGACAAAAAAAAATGTATTACACTTGACAAATTTGTATTCAATGTACAACAAATTCATACATTTTTTCTTATAATGAAACCACTTATTTAACAATACAAAGACAAAGGCATTCTATAGGTTTTATATAATTTTACAATAAAACTTTCAAAAATATATTTGTTTAAATTATAATTGGCCTCGGCAGCCAGCACCAATGGTCATTAGCAAAACCATAATTGTAAAGACAGACTATGTACTAAAAAAACTATATAAAAATTACTTCTTGATTTTATAGTTTAATTTAATTTAGTGTTATTATTATAAAAAAAAAAGAATTCCAAGAATATATTATAATTAAAAATTGTGAGTAAAAATCTTTGACTTATAATTATACAAAAAAATTATAATACAAATATTTACTAACATAAGTAAGTTTTTAGTGGTTGGCATCGAAGGAGAGAGGGTGAAGTGACTTAGATAAGAGTGAAATAGTCTATACAAAAAATACGAGTATAGAAATTGCGAACACCGGATAGTATAAAAAAAACTACAACCCCCCGTCCCAAATGTTGTTAAAAATACACCACTGTAAAAATGTATAATTTAATTTAATTGTTTGTATATATTGTTATAATTGAATTGTTCTTATTATAATTGATAAATTAAATATTTTATAATAAAAGCTATATAAAAAAAAAATTCATTTTTCAATCTAAGAGGACGCCACACCGCCCATTTTTAAGGATTAAAGTCTAGGCAATTTTTACAAGATATTAAGTTAAAGTTTAAACTGTGATGTGTAATTATTAGTTCAGTGTAGTTAGGAATCTTATTTGGTAGTTTAATTATTTTAAGGACTATCACAGCATCATTGACAGCTATTTAAAAAAAAAATTCTGTCAAGTTGAGTTATATGCGGATTAATTTTTTTCTGGCTTCATATATAGTTAAGGAAAGAAATTCATACATATTATCTATGACAAAATTATCTGTGCTCCAACATCCGTATTTTTTCAATATACCTAATATAACCAAGGCTATATCATTTTTAAAAAAGTCCTTTCTTAATTAATTAATTTTTCATAAACTGGTTGAAATATAAAAAAAAGAACCATGGTAGAGCATAGACAGCGTTGTTGTCTATTATGTGAAAATTTGGTCTCTTAGTTTTGATTACAAAATACAAAATTTTACAAATTTTACAATTTGTAAAATTAATTTTTTGAAGAAAATAACTGGTGTGTCCTCTTAATTAATCTTATATTTTAAAACTGTTTATACTATTAAGAAATAATATGTGACAGTGGTCAGAGGCCTAAAGTTAAGTTAATAGGTTGGTTTGGGTAGGTTAAGGCAATCGCTATGGCCGAGTTCTGCTCACTGAGAGATTTTAAATAGTGTTGACTAAACTATTTAGAAAATCTAAAAATCTTAAACTAAAGTCTAAAAATTGTATTTATAATTATTTTGTGACAAAACACCAGTATTTATAAATCATTTAAAGTAGGTATGGAGATTGATGTTTATTTATAAAATTTATATTATTTGCAAAATTTGTGCATACACTGATATTTACAAATTGACTTGTTCATCAACGTTCCGGAAGTCTTACAATTTACTAATTAGTGCACCTCTGACAATGGAAGATGAAGCGATTAGCATTAGCAAACATGTCAATTAGTAAATATTGGTTAATTCACAAATTTTGTAAAAACCGGAAACAAAATTATTTAGTTATTTTTTTTATATGAACTACATTATATTATTTCGGTCGGATAATTTGAGACCCCCGAAAAATATCAGAATCTGCCCTACAAACACTACAGGACACTATGAACTTAAAAAAAAAAACTGGTTTTCAAGTATTGTACTGTACACTTGTCTGCATCAAAATTGTTGCTGTTGTGTATTAAACACTTTTGTTTGACATTAAAAGAAACAGCTTACCTATGATAAAACATACAAAAATTAATAAATAAATCAAATGATTACACAAAATAATTACCTTATGAAATAGAAAGTAAAAAGATTGTTAAGTATATTCTCAGATCTTTGTTGATATTGTGTCACAACTAACTATTCAACTTTTAATTTTCCTTAGTCACTAGAAATATGCCTGTAATGTTAAAATGAATAATAGAATATGGTTATGTCAACATTAAAATGTGTAATACACTTAAATAATAGTTGAATTTATCGACTGTTATGTAAAATTTGAAGTATCCTTAATTTTGAAATATTTCTTAATCTAGATTGTTGTAATACATCAAATATCATGGGCTATGTTTCACATTATTTATAAGTTTACTGCAAAATTAATTAATACGTTTTGCAACAAACTAATCAAATAAATTTAAAACATATAACCAATTAAAATCCAAAATTTTTATTTTTATTTCATGGTTTTATACCTATGCTGTATGCAACATATTAGGTACAACATATTATAGCTTATAATAAAGTTCCATTAATTTAAGAGCCGTAATATTCCAATTGAACATTTTGTCAAACAATGCATGTGATTTATATGCAGATGTGCAGATTGGTTTTGAAATTAGACCCCTCAGTAGACTCTTAGAAAAAGAATATATTATATACATTTGACAAAAACAAAAGAAACAAAAATCATAAAGATTGCAAAACACTTGTATTTGAACTATGATGATTACTGATCTCCCTAAAATCATACACTGTAAAGATTAAGGGAATATTTTTTGTGGTAATATATTAAATAAATACTTAACTTTTATGTACAAATGATCCATCGAAACGAATGAAAACATTACAGACATTTTTGTTTTGTAGTTTACCGATTGCCAATTTTTTTTCTATAAATGTAAAACGAATTCAAGTCCAAAATGTTTGCGTTCTTTAAAATCGTTCACTCTGTTACTTGCAGACAATTGCATGTACAAATTTGAGAGTACTCATCCAAATTACAAATTCCAATTACCGAGTCACATTTATTTCATTACAAAATCACAAAAAAGCAAATGCTAGTTGCTAGTTGCTACACAGAATGCAATTATTCAGTGGTTGCTACGGCGGACAGCCTTATCAGCTGCTAGATCAAATACAAGGTTATACCTGTGGCTAGGTTATATCAGTATATGATATACTGGAGGTAAAATTATTGTCATGCTATAATCACGTTATAGTCAACGGCGTCAATGACAATATTTGATTTTAATTAACATATATTATTTATAAATAAAGTCACGACGAAACATACAAAAATGGTCTACTGAATTTATCACGAGTGTAAATTATTCAGATTCAATCTTGTTTCCCGATATCTGTATTGCTTTTCCAATTTAGTTTTGTGGCCAGTGTTGTCTTGAATTTACGGTAATAATGGACCCGCCAACTATGTTTGAAATCGAATCAAGAATGTCCGGCATGTTAATCGGCCGTCGTGGGGTCAAAATAAACAGCATACAAGAATCCAGTGGCGCGAAGGTGCAAATAGTGGATAGCGACACACTGGACGTCTGTAAAGTGAAAATAAGAGGTACTCAACAACAACAGAAAGTAGCCGTAGATCTTATTGAGGCGATTGTTGGCAAAGTAACACCAATGCAGAGTGAACCTTCACAAAGCGTTCCTCGGAGACAAAACAGACAGTTCTTTGCTGCAGAACAATCCAATCAACCAGTCAGAAAGACAAGGAATCAACGTCAGCACAAACAAAAAAGAAGTGAACGAATGCCTTCGCCTCCGGAAGTATTACATTTGAGCGAAGAAGCCTGGGCAGAAATTCGCCGTGAAAACGAAGAAATGGAACGTAAGCAAACAGAGTGCTTGCAACCAATTTTAAAACAGTTTTACGTGGAACACCAAGAAATTAAAGCTATGAGCGACAAGGACGTTAAAGCCTTCAGGCTCTCAAAAAATAACATCATGGTGAATTATGTAAGAGGTAATAAAAAATCTAAACAGATTCCAAAACCTGTTATCAGTTTTGAACATGCATTTCATAACTACCCAGAAGTTATGAAACAAATAAAGAAACAGAACTTTACTATACCAACACCCATACAGTGCCAAGCTTGGCCAATTATCATGAGTGGGCATGATTTAATTGGAATCGCTCAGACAGGTACAGGTAAAACTTTAGCGTTCATACTTCCAGCATTGATTCATCTCGAACGTCAGCCAACACCACGCAATGAACGCATTGGTCCATCAGTATTAATATTAGGTCCAACAAGAGAACTAGTAATTCAAATTGAAACAGAAGTAAAAAAATACACTTATAATGGAATAAATGTGGTGAGTGTTTATGGTGGCGCCAGCATGAATCATCAACAAGACCGCTTGAACAAAGAAAGGCCAGAAATTATTGTTGCCACTCCTGGCAGACTCAATGATTTTGTAAGCACTCGAAATATTAACACTACTCAAGTTTCATTTCTAGTTTTGGACGAAGCAGATCGTATGCTCGATATGGGTTTTGAAGTTCAGATTGAAGCAGCATTAATGAATGTTAGACCGGACAGACAAACCGTATTGACTAGTGCTACATGGCCAATTGGCGTGCAATACCTGGCTGAAAAATACACAGATAATTCGTTACATGTTACAATCGGGACATTTGATTTGACCACTGTTAACACTGTAAAACAACAGACAATCGTTACTAAGGAATACAAGAAAGACGCCTGGTTGGAAAATTATATGAAAAACTTATCGGCTGATGACAAAATCATAATATTCATGCGTAAAAAGGTGTCTGTGGATTCACTGTACAGTAAGCTGTGCAGTCGAAACATAAACTGCAGGTAAGGCTACTTTGTTAGCATATTAATGTATATTGTTACTTGTTTGAACATTTAATTCTTATCTTACAGATGTATACACGGTGGCAGGGAACAAGCGGAAAGAGAAAAGGCTTTGCAGGACATGCGTGACAACAATGTGTCTGTACTGATTGCCACCGATGTAGCGTCCAGGGGAATCGACATACAAGACATTACAGTGGTGATAAATTATGATTTTCCAACTAACATTGAAGAGTATGTTCACCGAGTAGGACGAACAGGACGAGCAGGAAAGACAGGTTCAGCAATCACATTGTTTACCCAACACGATGCACATTTCGCAGAGGTACTCATTGACATATTGGACAAGTCAAATCAACATGTTCCGAATGAGTTGCACCACATGGTCAAGCAGTACAATAATGAGACTACAAAGGAAAACCCAGAGGCCAATTATGAAAGTTTGGAGGGAAGAAGTTCCCAAAGTTATAATTAAAGCATAGAAGTTAGATTAGGCATAGAATTTACATTGAATTCTTTAAACTGTTTTTTTATACCATCTTTATACACTTTTTATATAATTTATATACCTGTTTTATGTTGTTATATTTGTATACAATTTAAATATGTAATCTACTTAATATTAATCAAATTTTACTTAATACATTTTTTTCTTCTAAGAAGTAAGAACACATTTGACCGTGTAAATTATCTTTTTCGTAATTTTTTGGATATTACTGTTAAGTTTTAAATTGATGATTGCAGGAATGATACAAGTCACTTTTATATGAAATGGAGTTTGTAGCAGAAACACACTCTAGTCATATGTTTTTATCTGTTGAGTGTATAAACGACTTGTCATACTATTTTTACCGATAAAATTACTAAAGGAAAATCAGAATGAAAGTGAAAACATCTTTAGTCAATGACTAGTGTCATGTTTACATTCAAAAGTAACTTTTGATCTATACAGGTGTTAATTTTTAAATGAAATAGTATATACTGTTATTGGAATCTAATAATATAGATTAAAATATTGTAATATATTAATAAACTAGATGCAAAACTTACAATGGCCTAAATAATAAGTAGTTATTCTTAAATTAAACTTAATTTCAAAATTATTTATATTACACAGCTTTTATCCATTATCCAAGTATAAAAAAATTAACTTGTATCGTTTCTGAAATCATTGATTCAGTTAGAATGCATAAAAAGTCAATGAGTACTTTTAACAGTTAATTGAAAATAAATCACCGATTCATGGTTATGTAAATCTTATTATCTAATTTATATAGTACACATATTATTTAATATATATATTAGACTGGTTCAAAAATAGAAAAAATGAGTACAAAGCAAAATTTAATATAAGACGTATCGAATTTGTTTTATTACTTCAGCTCTTATTAACTTCATCTTCATTTCTTATAAACTTACAAATAAAAAAACAAAGTAGATGATAGTATACATAGTGTGACCAGACGTCCCGATTTTGGCGGGACAGTACCGATATTCAAGCAGGTGTCCCGCTAAATATGGTGATCAAATCGGGACAGTAAAATGTACCGACTTTTAATCGACGTCCCGATTTTAAACAATAGTTATTTTTTTCTTATTTTCACTTATGGTGTGTATATTTTTGTGTTCCATCAGATCTCATCAGTTTATTTTGTACAGTTTCTATAATCTATACAGTGATATCACTTATTATCATAGAGACCTAGACATTAGTGTTTATCACGTTATGATCTGGACTCTTAATCGGCTATAGGTAACCACGGTTTTAGAAATGAAACCCAAGTGGTTAGAACTGATAAAAAATCTCCTTTATTGCTCAAATCTATTGCATCAAATGATAAATACTAAGTATTAATAATTTTTTTATCTGTATTAAATATTTTATAAATTTGTATTAAGTATATTTAAATTTGGTTTTCATCCTACTTTGATTGTAATTATAAGTTTACTTGTTATAATATTTAATTCTTGTTTTTTAAAGTTACATTTTGTTTTTATAATTTTTTTGTTAAGGATATAATATACTTAATTTTATTAAGGTATTAATAAAATAAATATTTTATGTTCAATGAAAAATTGATTTAAATTTTGATTTTTATCCTATTTTGATTATGATTTTTTTTTTTTGCAATGTCTAATTTTAGCATGAAGAAATAAAGGTGTACCCAAAACCAATTATTAAGAGAGATTAACTCCTCCTACGAGTACTATTTTATGAGGAGGGATACCCCACTTCCTCTAGTTCCTTTTGAATACTTGTCCCGCTTTTATAGAATTTTGATCTGGTCACTTTAAGTATACACCCGATACTGACTACTCAATTTTTAATTTTAATATTATAGAAAACTAACTAATGGCAATAAATATTCAGAAAATGACCAAAAAAAATTTTTTCTGTCCCGCTTTTTATTTTTTAATTATTTTAATCCAGACTCATTAAACAAGAAACCACCCTTTGTCAAATGTATCCATTGTAGAAAGAGTACATTTGCTGATTAACGATTTGTTTGCGATTCATTTATGCTCCTTGGAGTAACAATTGCATTTGATTTTTATTTTGAGCGAGACATTGACAATACTTTTCAACTTGACCAATACTCCTCTCAGCTACGTCATTGACCACTTTTAAGTCAGAAAATATTGTCATAGCTTTCATGTAATTTATATTATTTTGCAATAATCCAATATAAGTATCGGACAAATCACATTTCAAATTGAATGGATTGAATAATAAAAGCAGATACTTTTTCTTTTACTTTTATTCTTAAACTTAAATTATCTATATTCATTTTGGGTAGCAAGTAGCAGGCGTACACTATCAAAAATATAGCTTTTTATTTGTTAGTTTATAAAAAATAAGGATAATGTCAATAAGAGCTAAACTTTTTTTTTAAAAATACATATATTCATATTTGGTTTTTTTTTTCAATGTTCCATTGAAATTGTCAACTTTTTTACAGAGTAAATACAAATTATTGTGATGCGGTAAATAAAAATGTATATTTTAAATATTTGATTTTCAATTTATGGTGTTTTAGTAAAATTCAATAGTTTAAAACAATATTTTTAGTTTAAGAGATTATTATTTTTTCTAGATGGACTACAAAAAAATGTTAATATAATTTAATCATTACAAACACTTATTGGCTCATAGTTAATTAATCGCTCAGTAATACTTTAATAAGATAAAAATAACAATAATTTAAAAAAATCACAATAAAAATTTCATAATACCTTAGTCTATGTTCTAATATTAACTTACAATATAGATATATATTTTGACAAAGCGCAGTCCCTTTGTATTAAAGGTATACCTTTATACTTATGTATATGTATTATATACGTAATACATACAATTTTCACCATGATAAATACTGTATACAAATCAATAACCCGTAAACACTTAACCTAGTAAACAATGGCCAAAATGAATACTTCAAAATAATACCTAATTACATATAGTAGTTCAGAGTCGGACTAAATAATATAAAGGTTAACAACAATAGGTCTTAAAGAGATTCGTCGATAGCCAATGTTGGCGGAAAGAAGAAGTTTAACGTTTTCAGTCCGAATTCAACGCCTAAGAAACACGCAGCGTTTGCAGGAAACGCTCTGAGCATGACGGGTGTCACTCCAGCATAAAGCGCTCTCAGTCCTTCTTCACGATACAATTTGGCAAATACATCTCTAACACCTCTTGGATACATGCCTTCGGGTGCTATAAAATTTAAAACAAGAATATCAAATAATGCACATAATCATAAACAATGGTTTTATCGTACTAAAATTATACTGACCAGTTTGTAGTCGACTCTTGAGTACGTCAGCTGGCATAGCCACTAACCAGTTCAGTATGCCAGCCATACCTCCAGCAAGTATTGTGTTTAACATGTTCGTTTTACCGTCGTTGTTCAATTTTTGGTAATTCACTAATAACTCATAGGTCGTAAAATACACACCGCAAGCAGGAATGTCTGAAAAAATAAGACAACGGTAATAATAATATGACATGTTTTTTTATTTATAATGTTTTATTCACAGCAACAAAACACTTATTTGCTAATTAAGAGTGATTTTAAAACGGTTTTCATTTAGTGTATTAAACAATTTATTATCTAATTGACTTTACCTATTTTTCTGTTTTTATTGTATTTTGCTGTTGAAATAATTTATTATTAAGAAATTGAATATATTTTTATTTGAATTTTTAAAATAATAAATTAATTTTTAGTATTTTATTTTATATTTATTAAAAAATATCTTAAATACTTACATTAGTTTGTTCAATACATTTTAAATTATAACAAAACATTTGTATTCATGTTTTTAAGTAAATAAATAATTATACTACTTGATTTTAAAAAAATGTATTCAAGTTAGAAACTAAAAATATATTTGACATTCCTATTCGGATGTTTGTTCTATTAGTAAATATAACTAAATACACTATTTAGATTTTTATTTAAATAAAAAATTATAGAAAAATAAGGCCTGGTACATTATATTTATATTATACGAGTGATAATTTGAACGATATATTTTTTACACACATTACATTGATATACTCCCACGGCCAAAATATATGTCCAGTTCCTGTTAGACAGACAGGAAGGAGTATGATGTTTATGTGATAATAAAGTATTGGCCCCGTCATGGAAAATTCATTTTAGTTAAAATCTCATTCTATCAAAACCCAGCAACAATATCGCCAACAAGCAAAATGTTTTTCAAGAAAATTGCTTTACTTAGCTGCATTTTTCTCACGTCCGTCTATGCCAAGGTAAAATACTACAATAATAATTGTATAGTAATAACTAATCAACAGAAACTTAAATTTCATAATTCAGAATAAATAAAAATAACACATTTACGGACGGACTAATTTTAATATTTATATTAAACATTTTTTTCTTTTTTGCAATAAACATAATAAAATCTCAGCTAATACTTTCAATATTATAAAATAACGATATAATAATAAGTGATTACTATACTGTTACGTTTGTTTTTATCAAAAAATAATTTCCCATCCTTGCTCACTTCACTCCTTTACTCTGATTATAACATGTGTATTGTGTATACTATAATATATATTGAAGCTAGGAGAACCATACCCACTAAGCCTAAGTTACCTTCCAAAATAATTTTAGCTAACTCAATGTCCAAATCATACAACTATCCTGTCCTAAATTACAATTAAGATTGAAAACTGCATCAACGCTTCAACTAATTGTTAAAAATCAAATTCAGTGAATATCTGAAAATTATTCGATAAAACTGTCAATCCCGTTAGATGCATCTTTTAACGACTATGTCATAATAGAAGACAAAAAGGGTCTCTAACACTTTTCAAGTACATCAATAGACATTATTTTGAATCTCCAAGTTTCCAAAAGAGGCTTGGCGATTAGACTATCAATTATCGACTTAATTATCTAATCTGCGTTCTTCGAAGGAAACCCTAATCGACGGAGAGGACTCGGATTGGGGAGGTAACTGCCCAAGAGCTTGCACTTGCAGGTACACTCCTTTCGCCGAACTGGCCGTCTCAAAATGGATAAGGTACGGACTAAGACACGAGGCGCAATTCGAGTTCGCCAATAGCACCGAGGCACCGCATAACGAAGTATGTAACCCGCATTTATAGTCTCTGACATGATTTTTGACCAATCGATTCCAACCATTACTGTTGTTTGTACATTGAAAGGTCGTCGACGAAACAGCAGACGCCGACGACGAAGGACCAAAGAAGTCTCTAAAGGCCGCTCTGTGCCTTTTTATGAACGTGACCGACCCAAAGGCGTTCCTGGGTTCCGTACCGGCCGACACTGAAGTGAGCATAACGTACAGATTTTTAGCTAACATCACAACAATAAGGACGCTCTATTAATTCGCTTCAAAGGGGTGGTGAAATTTCGAATTTCGTTTAGTCAAAAACTCGCCAAAGCGGTTTGCGCTCAGGCTTAGTGAATTTTCTTTTTCTGGGACTATACTGGTTGTATTAAATGTAACGCGCAGTAGAAGTGCTTTGACACTTCCCCGTCTCTTCTCTTTCTCCAAAGCACTGCGGGGATCTGTCGTTACCACCCCTCCCCCCGTTCGAGGGTCGGATCAATAAAGACTTTTTAAAGAATCCGCTAGCTGTGCCAGCGAAGCTGTAGCGCGGCGGTAGAATACATTATCCGCCGTATAACGCTCGGTCGAGTCAACAACCTTTGCACAGGTACACTAAATCAATAAGGGCTACATACGAGGAGAACCGGGTAGGAGTATTGTGAAAGTTTTCAGCGCACGTCAATTCTCAGTATTCCTGTCTCGGGAATTATGTATTTATTGCCAAACGATTTTTTTTTTTAACAACACGGGTCATGAGAAATTGACTAAATCATATTAAACAAAAAAAAAAATATAAAAAACTGACGAATATTATATACCTTACGTACGACTTTATAAAATGCAAACTAATAAGCTATAACTTATAAATAAGTAAATCCATACACATTACACATCAGTGTCTTATTTATCACATACGCCTACTTGTGGGCCTACCTCTTAATTTCTCTGCCGTTATCTCTCAACTTGTTTTACAATTTCACTTTCTTCCGTTTTTTCAACGCTTCTAAACTGATTCTCCATCTGTTTTCTCTCTTTTTTTTCGCTCTGGGCTGACTCTCACACTTCATTTTATAAGCTTGTTTCTTATTTTGTCACCCCATGCCCCCATCTCCATATTCTCATTCCAACCACTTCCATTTTTCTCTCATCACTCTTACTTAGTTCCAAACCCGATTGAATATATTTGGTATTGATGTTCACGCTCACCAATGATGTAGTGTGTTGCAGACATTAATTTTGCTTGCTATTCCAGGCGCTTATCTTGTACCAAACAACGGACGCGTACGAGGTGACCATAACGGGAGAGGAGTGGCATCTGCCGGCGCTGGTCCTGTTGGAAATCCATGGAATGTCGGGTAAAATGCACGTTACCGACGGGACGTTTGAAGAGGCCAAAAGCGTGCAGTACCTGAGCATGGAAGGTGTGTCGCTGGACCGGTTGACATTGGAGGGAAACGAACCAGCACCTTCGGTGGACGCCAGGCCGTACAAGCACGAGAACATCTACGCGTTCAACGAGCTGGTGCCAATGATGGTGGTAGACGGGGAGCAGTCAGACAGCGGCGAAGGTCCGACGGGAAAGAACCGATTAGTGTTCCTGCAGCCCAAAGACGCCGAGATGGTACCTTACGAGGTGTACAAGAAGCAGACCGAACAACAAGCCAAGGCCAAGAAGAAGCCCAGTAGCCCGTTCGCAGGAAACGGCGACCTGGTTTTCCTCAGACTGGTTGACTGCGGTTTGCGCGACGTGTCCTGGGAAATGTTCGACGGCCTGGATTCGCTGGAGACGCTTATCTTAGACCGCAATGTCATCGAGTACGTGCCGGACTTCACGTTTTACGGGGCAGTCTCGCTGAAGAGCCTGTCGCTAGCCGATAACAACATAAACCGAATGCAAACCACAGGCCTGGGCGGACTGCTCGACCTCAAGTACCTAAACCTGAGAAACAACCGACTGACTTCGCTGTCTGAGACCACGTTTCCACCTCTACCCAAACTGGAAACGGCTGACTTGGGCGGCAACCCGTTGGAGACGATCTTCCCGCACACGTTCGAAGTGCTCAACTCGACCAGAGAGCTGGTGCTGGGTTCGCCCGCCGTTCAGCTCGTTCTTCGTCCCAGCTCGTTAATTGGCCTGGATTCCCTGGAAAAACTCCGTCTGATCAACATCAACGTCGCCGTCCTGGAACGGTCCTTGTTGGACGGACTGGCCAACCTGATCGAGTTGGAAATCAGCGGGACGGTAGAGCACGTGGCATTCGACGCTTTCATTGAAGTGCCCAACATAAGACGGCTGGTGCTTCGTAATTGTTCCATACGATCAGTGTCCATGGATTCGTTCTACGGCTTGTACAACTTGGAACACTTAGACTTGTCGTACAATCTCCTCGAAGAACTCCCTCCCGGCATGTTCGATCAACAGTTCTCTCTCAAAGAGATCATACTCAACAATAATCAGATAATTCAAGTGCCGGATACGCTTTTCAAGACGGTTTCCAACATAGTGCTTATACGGTTGGACGGCAACCCTTTGAGATGTTCATGTCACATGAAATCGTGGGACATATCATTGATGGTTAAAGACATTCGGCAAGTCAATAAACGCGTCTGCCAGTGGGAACATTACAAAAAGGGATACGGTTGTTCATTTAAGACCGTAACATCTTACGTGTACAACAAAAAGGCAGAACCAGTATGTTCCAGTCCGGAGAGATTTAACGGCAAAGCAGTATCATATGTGCTCAAAAAGTATTTGAATTGTGAAAGGAAGTCGATTGAAAAAAATAGAATCGCCTACCTAAAAAAAAAGTATAAGGAATACAAGCAAACACATTTTTCTGATGCAAAAGAAACCAAAATTGACGACAACTTTAGCTCGCAAATAAACATGACAACATCCCATAATCAAGATACTGTGGTTACATCAAACAAAATTACCAACGTTGCAGTAAACAATAGTACATCAGCAACGAAGCAATCAATAAATATTAACAGTACAACATTAGATCCGATTGGAGAGACAGCAGAGAAATTAGTTCAGTTGAACAACGGTACTTTCAAAAACAAGAATATTCTAAAAGAAGAAATTTCAAAAGCAATCCGAAAGAATAAAATAAAAAATACAACACCTAATGATGTTTAAATTTGTGTGCAATTTAAAAATATAAATATATTTATATTTGATAAATAAATACTTTCAACTAAAATTCATTCTATAATATTTAAAATTGGATTTTTAGATTATTTAAATCAATGATTCACTAACAAATGAATTAGTTTTGGTTTTGTGTAATAATATATTTCTAAAACAATAACGAATAAAATTAAAGTCACATACCTCTAAGTAATGTCGCACATGTGCCCTTGTACAGACTTCTAACGCCACCTTCAGCATAGAGATTTTTAATAACACTAATTGGTCCTTTATATTTCTGGTTACCGCTCTCCTGTACCTGCAATATGCACTTGATGCGTTCCCCGGGTACCATAATAATTGCAGTGAATATTCCGGAGAACGATCCGGCACAGAATAATTGTGCCGGAGTCAAATTTTCACCGCTTTCGCCACTAGGAGCAAATACTTTTTTTCCTAATCCAAATCCTAAAAAACTTATTGCAAATATAGGAGCTACACCGGTAATCGGTGCTGCCATACCTAAAAGAAAAACCAAATTGTAAAAACAACTTAAATTATGTACTTAATTATAATGTTTATAGTTAAACTTAAAAGTAAAACTCCTTAACTATTTACTAATTTTAGCTACTTTTAATAAGTTAATATTCAGTTATGCAGTTTTTAAATTTAAATAGGTTTTTATAATAAGTATGAACAAAATAACTCTATACGATAACCATATTACAGTAAAAATGTACACTGCAATATAATTAACCAATAAAATGTTTTAAATTAATTAATGTCTATAATTAAATTTCATTTTAATTTAGTTCAGTTAGTGAAAAAAGTACACAGGTAATACCCAATAGTATACTAGTATACTAAACTAGTGTTCTTGTTAAGTAGGCCAGAAAAAAAGTTGTTAAGTGTCTTATATGTTAGTGTACAAAGGTTTTTTTGCCTTTCCGAAAAATTGCATTAATGTCGTTTTAGGCTTTTTGCTTTAAAATGCATTTACATTACATGCACCTAACCTGTTAAGGTTTAAAATAAAATAAATAAAATACCTTTGTATAATCCGAAAAAGCCTTCTTTTTTAACAGTCTTTACAGCGCAATTCCATGCACCAGTGTACATGGGTAATTTACCTGGTTGCACGGGAGGCATTGTCTGCAATCTAACCTGAATAATATAAATACAATACTAATAAGTTATTGAAATGAAAATATACAAGTTTTGTTTGAATTAATATTATAATCGATTCTATAGGATTTATAATACCACTTTTGTTGATAATCAAAGTTATGTATTATTGAGATACGCGTCAAAGCTAAAGTATACAACTGAACTTTTATCAATATCCTTTATGACATTATTACCTAGTATTTTTCTGCATTATAATATTATGACGTACTTGAATATTGATAATCAAAATAAATTATGAAAACAGATATTTAAGGACTAAAATAATTAAAATAGGTTGCCACAATATATAAGGAGCAATAAATCATTGTAGATATGACTTTGAATATTTACACGCAAACCAAATCATATATAATATATAGTAATAAATTTTAAAGTTAATGTATTAAAGCAGACAACGTACTTTTATTGTATCTAACGGATGGCCCGTTAACACTGTACATATTCCACCAAATCCACCGGCAATGAAATATTTCAACGGGTCGGGTTTACCTTCAGTCGACATGATCCTAACTGAGTTTATACATATACTAAAAAAAATTAAAACTATCGGCTTAGTACCTAAGCAAATTTATCTAGTTTACAACAAGAACGGTAGGAAAATAAATTGACGATGACTAGACTACCAGCTAGTTGAATTAATTTTGTCTAACAGGTCGTTTAGTCAACTGTTCAACTTTCTATCTGTTATCTTGTTTTGTGTGTGATAAAACTGAGAAAACGAATAATGCTAATCTCTTATCAGCTATCATTCTGTTATCTCTAAAAAAGTATCAAAAAACACATATTTTCCCTACATTTTCATATTTTGGCAGAAATTTTAACAATTAATGATTTTTGGGTATGGTGTACGTGTTCAGCAAACTCTAAGCTATAAAGACTTCACAGTTTCAGCTCAAACTATGAAGTTGGGAAAAAGTTATGCATTGATTTGTGCACATGTATCGAAAACATAATATGTTAAATCACATTTAAACTTCTACCTTTTAAGTACCTTTCTAATATATTATGTAAATATAAATATATATATTTATATATATTTATTTATTTATATATCTTACTTGTCGTCATGGCGATACTTAAGTAGGATGAAAAGCAATAAGCTTGTTGGGATTTGTATACATGTATATATATTGATACCCACTGCGACTGAAAAAACGCGAAAATATATTTAGCATAAGAATACGATTTATCTTTAGATTGCCTACTTTATTTGTCTTTTTAATAATACACTTCAAATATATTTTATTATTTTTTAAGGATAAACAGAAAGGGCAACTGGCGATATTCCACAAAACTAATCTAGCAGCCATAAGTACCTATAATCTATTCCTATTCCTACTAACTTGAAGGCAAATAAATATTAAATTTCTTTAGTTATAAAACTTAAATTTATTTTTATCTGAGTTATGGCTTCAGTTTGAAAAAAAGACTTTTGTAGAAGTTAATTTCTAGCGATTTCAATTTTTATAATGTGAAGCTTTTTACCTATTTCACCTGGAAAGGCTAAAATTCTGAATTTTGATTTAGCTATTAGAAAATTAGTTAGATACTAGCAAAAGTATAAATAAAAGTTAGTTTAGTCTTTATTTGTATAAAATTTGGTTTTTCTGTTAACCTTAACATTCTTGAATGAGTACGTATAAGCCACTTTTTTTACGAACCTATTAGACAATAAATTGAAGATATTTGTATAATAATTTTTAATTTCTTAACAGTGTTACAATATATTTTTTTGTTATGTACTATAAATAATTTTCTTGTAGTGTACAAAATGGCTTATACTCGACTTTTACTTAACACTCTAGCAATTTTTAGCATGAAAAGTTACAATATAAAAAGATAATAATATAGTATAGTTTTTATTGATGTAATTCATAAAATATGTATTGCCTAAATCATAGTTGTATAATATATTGTAATAATAATAGATTAATTTACCGCAATAATATAATGGCATTAGTATTATTAAAATATTAAAAAGGTTTAGTAAGTGAAATATGTTGCTATACATAATTTTATTAACTAATATTTAGTTAGTTTCAGAAAATAAATATTTTTTAACGATTATAAGTTTCCAATATATTTAAAAAGAGGTTAATTTAATAATATAGGTATTAATTTATATCGATTATATTTTTGACACACTCAAATACTTCTTAAAAATGATTTATCTAAATGCTAATTGATTACAACTGTCTTTCTAATAATAATAAATAGAGGCGATTAAATTGTACGTTTACATTAATAATATAGTTAAGTAATAATTAATTAGGTACTAATAACTAAATAATAAATAATATTTATAATAACATAATATAACTATACTACTAATAGACTATATTTTTGTAATTAGTTTTTGTGCGGAGAAAATTGGTTAAATCGCTTAAATTCACTAAATTTATAAGGAAAATTAGTTATAACGTGCTAAAACTAGGCGAAAAAACTTCATCGATTGTGCTATACAATTTAAACCTGGCTTTACATGTTTAAAACAAGAATTTCAGTGCGAGTTTTTACTTGACTCAATTTATGTGTATGTTTGAAAATAAAGCGAATTAACTCGGAATGACTCGGTGAGATGACTACATCTAAAATACGCTTAAAAATTATCCTGAGCACAGATTAGTAATAGACGCACACAGATTATTATTGGTATGGAATTATTATATTTGAGTATTATTTCTTATAGTTAAAATATTGGATAAAAAGAAAAGAGAAATAAGAAGAATAGATAAAACGACAGGGTACGAAGATTCTAGGCTAATGGGAAAAGGCCTTTGCAAGGAGTCGGATATAATAGCATAGTGCAACACATGCTACGGGTTCGACTTAGGCGGTTCATCTATTTTGAACGTTCCATTGGACAAGCCTTCCAGAGCCACTGTTTCTCCGTTTTCTTGGTGGATCCACCATGTAGCGTCGACGGGAGACTTTGGCTGCTCCTGTTCAGTTCCAAGTTGTGCAGTCGCGGTGTTGCAACGCGGCATCGTGTTGGTGATTGCGTTGCAAACGTACTTCGGATTCGGTCCCGCGACCGGTTGTCGTTTTGTTCGAGGAGTCGACTGCACTTTCGCCGGCTTTGCGTTGGTGATTCCCGAAGACGTTGACGGACCACCGCCACCCATTCCGTTTCCGTCGTAATAAATAAGCGGTTCTGTTGCGACAACATACTGAGTGAGATTCGAACCCGTTGTCCCGTTGCCTGTGCCTGTGGTCGGGTTGGGTTTTTCAGGTCGTGGCGGTAGCGGCCGAGGCTGTGGACCTTCTAGAGTCGACCGGGGCGCTAAGAAAGTACCGACAAACGCATTATTCGGAATCAAATAGATTTTTCTTATTTCGGGCTTCTTCGGAGTGGCCACCGGCCTCGAAGTGGCCACCGGCCTCGGAGTGGCCACCGGCCTCGGAGGAGCCGGCATCTGGGCATTTCTCGAGCGACCACCCTTAGGCTTCCAAAGACGTTCCATTCGAATAATACCGTCTCTCAACCCTCGGATGTACGCCGTCCAGGTCACCGAGTCGGTGCGCAATTCTTCCAGCGTCACCGAGTTCACCTCTCTCGGAGTGTTGAAAGCCCTGGGCCGACTTTCCGCTTGTTGGCCGTTGTTGTCGGCCGTGTAGTTTTGGTTGCCGTTCGCTGCCATAATTGATCTGTAACTACCGGTTAGACAGGTGTTAGTTTTAAACTGGGCGGCATCAAGACTATGAAACTAGGGAGAACGCGAGATGATAATATAACCCGATGCCATGCGGAAACAGAAAGTGAACCATTAATAATTGTCTTGTCACGCATATAAAAGACCAAGTCTGTGTGGTTATGAAAACCATACGCGAAAGAAGAAGAAAAAATCTGAGAATTTTCAACAAAAAAAAAGTATAAATAGGTACACTGTAAGGAATATTTTAAGAAGAGGACCAACATCCAGTAACATTATTTTAGTCATTAACAGGCAAGTGTTTGACAAGAAACTATCCACACTAAGAACCAAAATCAAAAGACGCTTCTCAAAAAAAAGTATATATATTTATAATAGTTTTCCCGTTTTAATAGTTAACGACATGGAATTGCTCTGCGAATCGTTACTGTCATCAGTTCAGTATTGTCAGTGTAGTAAAGTAGCTGATATCGAATTAGTATACACTAAAAATGTGCTGAACGTAACCAAATCAAAACTGGCATACCGTACACGCATTGCATGTTTAGCTCGTGGTATTGCTTAATTATTGCTATTATCTTTCTATATTAAATTCATAAATCGTGTCAAGTGCTATACTAAACTATATCAAGGCCATAAGACAATTGTAAACTTTTTAAAAACGGTATTATCCATTTGAAAATATCGTACAACACTTTTACCTACCTTTTTTTCGCCGGTAATTAGCAGAATTCGTTCTATACTCTTTTGGAGAGCAAATACGTTGCGGTAATCCTTTGGAGCGTGCACTGTCTATGACAGAAGACGGTCAACAAGAAAATAGGATCTCGGAAGAGAGGCGCAAATGTCGTTTATGTTTGACGCTGGCCGTTTTAAGAATCACCAATTTAAGAATCAACTGGTGGATAATGTCGAAAGCCAGATATCTCTTGGCGTGCGATAATTTCCAGTAAAATTCAGTTAAATTTGTTTACCCGAAACTGTGTACCGTGCAACCAATCTATAGGGCTCAAGCTGCTGTACTGAGCGTCCTGGATTGGGGAGGCCGAGTCCCGGGTAAAGCTAAACTTTCGCATTGCAGTGGTACCAACGTGGGCGACAATAACGCACCTCCTCAATGATTATCGGTGGTCTACTTGGAACATTTGGTGGCAATCGTGTAATAACGATTTTTCTCCACACTTCGCCCATGTACCGCTCAGTCGAAGCCAACGACCTCGTGGGTATTATTCGAAAGGAAAACGGTTATATACTGACATGATATAGTAAGGTAGAGCGCACCAGACATTCCGGCCTGAGCTTTTGACTTTGTAATGTGATGGAACTTTTGTGTATAACGCAATTGTCAATCGACAAAACGAAATGATAAAGTTATTTTTTGATTCAAGTTCGAATTTAACTGTGCTACAATCAATATTATCTACTTACCTAGTTAAAATTATTAACAAAATTAAATTCAAGAAGACTAGCCCCGAGAACGGGTAAAATTTTTTTTTTTCTAAAATTCTTTTTGTTATTAACACTACAATTTTTTTCCCCTCCAAATTCAACCAAATTCATTAAAAAAAATTCGTATAATTAAAAATTAATTGTTTTTTTTCAATCTGTTTTATAGTTTGGGTAAATTATATGATTAACCTATCGTTTTATATTCATGTTTCAGGTTTGTTTTTTGCAGGGGAAGGGGACACCTGTTAGTTATTAATGATATTCGAGTATTTACATTTTACAGCGGTTTCAGCCCAACGTTTTTAAATTCTTACAATTTATTACAAATATTTCAGTTTCTGACAGATATTATATTAATTTTATCGTTGTCGTAAATATGTTCTTAGAGTATAATGCATATTTTGAACTAATTCAACTTAAATGCGGAGCAGCTGAAATTGCATAATAATATATTTTATTTTATTAATTTTTCAACACACGTGGTAACTTGTAAACAACTTGATCGGGTTCTTCTTAGCTCATACATACAGTTTATGTATCAGAAATGATTTAACAAACTTCATTTTTAATGTTTATGTACAAAAACGTTCTAAAAACTACCTCAATTATAATTGCACAATTTAAATTTTCTTTGAAAAAATTTAACACATAAAATCAGTTTTATATATTGAATTCAGACATTGTATGTATAACTAACAATTATTTTTTCATTAATTCAATGACACGTTTAAGCGATCAAATAATATGTTTCTATATTACTATAGATAATCAAACTCAAAAGAATTCTGGTGAAAGTGCTTAAGCTAACTTATGAAGCATATTTTTAAAAAGAAACCGTTACACCAAAACGTCAAACAATTTATCTTATCACGTTATTTATCTATAATCATGTAATTATTCTTATTTCTGAGCTTTAACACAATATCGCTAGTATATATTAAATTAAAAGTATTTCCATTCCAGACACAAATCCGGATAGCAATACTATTTTTACGCTTAGTTAATTTATAATATTATTAGTTTATAATTAGCAAGTAATATAACATCGCTTTCAAGTATAATTTAAGGAGAATTACGATCTATGTTTTACCTTCATAGACACTTGACCAAATGTTTAAAAACTTTAATACATCTCTAAATTAAAATGATACTACATAAATAGGTGTACACTTATTATATAAAAATATACATACCATTTACAGGAGAAGACTAAATTACAATTAGTATTGTTTCATACGTTAAATAACAATTTGTTGAAGATTTTTATTAAGATTCTAAATATTCTAAAAAAATTAATAAAACCTACCAAGGCAAAATAATGAACAATATTTGTCATAGAATACACATACCATAAAATATACTATCAGTAAACCATATTTAAGGTATTTATTTTGTAAAACTAAGGATGTCACATATTAAGCACTATTGGTACCCAATACCTAATTGATAAGAACTCGGATAATTCGTTTAATTGTACCTTCACGGCTGTTAGTTAAATCACCAATACATGAAAAACAAATATTACAACTCGATTACATAATATTGTATGCTATAATAATTAACGTTGTTGTAAAGTTCAGACTTTAATTCACTTAATTAATTTACAATTTTAAACCCTGGGATTACATTTTTAATTAATTTGATTTTAACTAATTTTTAGGGATATACATATAATGGATAATATTCTATGAGAGGGAAACAGCTACTCTAATTAATAAAAACACACATACACAATTATAATAATAATTAAAAAGTCACGTTCGCTCTTATGCAACTATAAACGTTGAAAAGTTGATGCATTTACCTAGAAAATATGTCTGACTGCGCCCACGTTAGGTAACAGCTGAAAACTAATTATTTGCTGTTCAAGTAGTTTTTTAACATACACTTGTAGGTTGTAACAGTCGAGGATTGGAAGTTACTTAATCAATCTTTATAGGAGTGACGCCACATGCAAAGATGACAGAAAAACTTCCAATCGTACACTGCCTCAGCTTTGCGGACCATAAGGTCAGGGTTTTTGCTTAGAGATAGTACTGAAACGAACAGGTCGACTGCCTCGGCTGACCGCCCGAAACCGGCGAGCGCGTCCACTTTGCACAATGTCTTCAGGCCGGTCAGTCTGTACTGTTCCTTGAAAGTGCTGCCCACGAATTCCAGCCTGGCCACGGCTGTACGAAAACACTCGCGGTGCTCTTTCCACAGGTCCCTGGCCACGCCACCCCACCGGCCATAAGCGTCCGCGTCGTCAGTCGGGTATTCCGAGCCGTCGTTGCCGCTGTTCGGCATCAACGTCTTTCGGCTGATCCTAACGATCTTGCTGCCAAACGCCCGCTCGTAGTCCAACGCCATCGCCGGCAAGTCTGTGTCAGACAGGCTGCGCCGGGCCGAACGCTGCAGCTCGTTGTCCGTCGACCAGTTGGCCCGTTCGAGTCTCGCGAAGCACTCGGCGTCGTCCAGCCTGTTCGCTCTGTCCAGCGTCTCGTCGGGCGTTATAGACTTCGGTGCCGTGGTCCCGGCCGCGACGGCTTCGCCGCTACCGTCGCTTTTGTCGTCGTCCGCCGACTCATCGTCCCGGGCCCGTTGATTCTCAGTGTAGTTGATCTCGGAGAACTTGTCCTTGATCGTGTCTTCAGCGGCCGCCAGAGATTTGGTGTTCTCTCTACTGCGCTTGATGTCTTCCAGACAATGCAACAGCGTGCGCCATTTGTCCAGTTCTTGGCCGGCGTACTCTATGGACTGGGCCAGCAGCTGCGGGTCCAGGTCGGTGCGGTTTTTGCGGAAAGCGTTCTTGAAGAACCTTTTCAGCTTGTCGGACGTGCCGCAGCCGCCCGCCGTCGTCCTCGGCCTGTCGCCAAACGATGACCGGTCCGACCGATCTTTTATCTGGTCAATGAACTTTCTAACGCGGCGTTTGGCCTGCCGCTCGTGTCCGGCCACCGTGACCGCCGGTGACGGACACACGAACGGGTACTCGGATCGAAGGCCTAACGGAGGCGGCGGCGGGTCTGGAATTTTCTCCACCGTGTCCAACCATTTTTTGCACTGCCACCAGTCCTCAGCCGAGCAACGCGACTGTAGCGTACCGTTCTGAGTGTAGTTGTCGGCCGGTTGCGATGGGGTCAGCGGTGGCGATGACTGTGACGGCTGTGGCTGCGACGGGTACTGTCGTCTTTCCCGGATCAGCCTGCTAGTGTACTTGTAAAACGAAAAACGTTTGGACTTCCTCCTGGGAAACTTCTTACGCTTGTCCATGCCCGCCGCCGGCGACTTGACGAATTCGTCGTCCACCCAACCGTACGAGACTTCGGCGCTGCGAAACCTCTGCGTGGGCGACTCGTTTGCTGGTCCGGTACATTCCTGTTCGGCACCATCGTCCGTGTTCTCCGCTTTGCCATCAGCCGCCTGCTCGTCAGTGTTCGGTTCGTCGAGTTCGTTGTCCGCTTCCCAACAGTCGAAACACGACTGGATGATCTGCTGCTGGTACCGTTCCCAGTCCTCGGGCGTGGCCAGCCTGGACTTTTTCACCTCGGAACAGGACGAACCGGTCAAGTCCGGTCGTCGACGATCGCCGAAATTGCTGACGGCTCCTTCGACGACGGCGCATTTTTCCATAGCCAAAGACTGTGTGTGTCAGTTGTTGTTTTAAAAAAAGAGTCCTTTAATATCGTTATGGAAATATTACAACGGAACTTTAGCGCCTGGAGAACAGTTTTATGGTGTTGTGCACCAGTCCGCAGCCCTTGGATTTCTTGGCGCTGGCGAACGGCTTGAGGGTTTTGGGCGAAACGATTTCGCCGTGTTCGGTGCCGATATACGTCCACTTCGAGTCCAATTCCCAGTTGTTATAATCCGATTTTCTGTATTTGGGCGATCCCGAGTGGTTTCTTACCGGCGGCTGGTCGACAACGACTGTCTGCGGGTCCGGTTGCTGCTGCTCGTTACATTTGCCGGTGCCTCGGCTCGTGAAGTCGAACTTTTTGATTTTCCGATGAAAGTTCTGCTTGTTGCCCGGAAAATAGTTTTCGCTGGACGCGACCGCTGCTGTTTGGTCGTTAGGCTTGGCTGTCTGTTGTTTGGACAACGATAGCGACGACGACGGCGGCTGCTGCTGCTGCGGTGGCGATGCAGAAGACTCTTCGATGGCCTTGTTAAGCTTCTGCAACACTTCGATGCAGTTGGATCTGTGGCCGGTGCCGGTATAATAGCTGTTGTTGTTGTTGTTGTTGTAGTTGGCGGTGCCCTTGGCCGCGGTGCTATTGGTGCAACCGGTTCCAGTGGCCGTGCACGTGCTTGTGCTGAACGATTCGAATATTTTAATCTTCTTCAGGAAGTCCTCTTCATCCTTAACTACGTCTAGTCTTTTCTGTGAAGAGATGTTCCGCGGAGACGCCGGATGTGTGTCGGTCCTGTCGAAAGACTTATCCGCTAAAGTCGAGACGCCTGACAAGTTTTCCAAAATCAATCGTCTTCGCGTCAATTGCTCGGTCAACTGTGGATCCATGTTAGCTTACAACGAAAACGATAACCGGAGTGATGAACGAGCCGCTCACTTGTCATCTGGAATCGTTATAAAAAAAATTATAGTGAGAACATCTGCTTAATAGTGTAATAAGACTAATTAACTAATTGCCACGCCGGTCTATAGTTGGGAATTACCCATGCCTACGACATTCTCACGGGGAAGGACAAATGACACTTTATAAATTAATTTAGTTGACATGGAAGTTATCCCACGTTGATCCTTAGATGCATAGTTTATATAACTTTATTGATTATATAGCATATCGTATACAAGCCATTCTATCATTTTACAGGAAAAGGAACGCATTGATATACAATTTTTAACATCATAATACAAAAATTGAAAAAAAAAATAAACGTTTAAAAATGTAATATATAAACTCAATGTTTTGACATAACATTATGACACAGAAATTTCAGTTCATCTTTTAAAACATTTAAAGTTTGATAACTTGTGCAGTATCTTTTGATGGAACATGATAATGTTATGCCTTTTTCTTAAATTCATTAAATATAATCATTTATTAATAAGTAAATTCTTAAATTTTTTTAACTCTATCAACTTAACCTAATCAAGTTAAGTTTAATATTTTCGGTTTAGTTATTATTATTTCATCCCAGTTTCATTATTTTTTTTTTATCCTAAATACTGTTTTTTTTTCAAAATTCAAATATAAGTATTTTGCCTCTTTTCGACTCACCCAACATTTACTTGACCCAACTATCCTTACCAATTGAAAGATTTAATTATGTTAATAAACTTGAGTGTTAAATATTAAATTATTATAAAACATACTTGCTAAAAAACGCATTAATTTCATTAATTAAAAATTCAAATTGAAATACCTAAAAAATGCAGAGTTTAAGCACCCCCAGTTGTTTTATTGAAATTGCGCCTATGATCGTTATAACTAATAATAGGATATACCGTATACGAATACAATGGATTGACGACAGATTCTGACAGCATATACCGGATGATTCTTTTAACGCCCTACATTAGTTTACTCTTAAATTAATTGCAAATTTGTAGTGGTTATTTTTGAAAATCATTTTGATTATACTGTATTACTATATAAAACAATATTTCAATTTTTATCATTTTTAGTATATTCTAGAGCTTTATCAACTTTTGAAACTTAAATAGTAACATATATATATTTTAATCTTTTTAAATTAACAATAATTTGCTGAAAAAATTGACTGGTCGATAACCAGTTTTGAAAAATTATTTTCAAATTTATTTAAGTTTAAAATTTAGGACAGGAGGTGGAGTGCGGTTGAGAAATAGCGCGCAGATAAAAATAACTCTACTCTCCACTCTTCCTCCCGTCCTAAATTTTAAAATTTAATAACTTTACAACTATTTATTCAAAACTGGTTATCGGCCAGTCAACATTTTCAGCAAACTATTGTTAATTTAAAAAGGTTAACATATATATATATATATACGTTACCATTTAAGTTTTAAAACCTCTAGAATATACTAAAAAAGATAAAAATGTAATTATTGTCTCATACAGTATAATCAATAGTTGTTTAAAAAGAAACATTAGGAAATTGCCATTATTTTAAGAGTTAACTAGTGGTAGGGCGTTAAAAAAATCACCCGGTATTATATACTTTACAAAACGTAAGTATTTTTTATTTTTATTTTCTTCACTAAATGCAAGTATAATCCACACTGCGGTATAGTTGGTACTTACTGCTCGTAATTATCGAAACGGTCGTTGCACTTAGGACGGTCGGTTTTTAGTGTTGCACATGATTCTGTCGGTGGTCGCTCGGTTAAGACGTTGAAGTGATGAAAACCCAATCGCCGCGACTGGCGTGAGGGCGCACACGCTCGTCTTATATAACCTACTCCAGTTGGCCGCCGTTGCTAGCTGTTGTTATCGTTTTGGTTTTTTTTTATTTGCTCATTGATTTGTTTATCCATTGATTGTAATCCATTAAAACGGCGCTTGTTTATAGTTGTTTTTATTGCGAGACCGCGTGTACTTAAAGTACCTCTACCCGCGTTTATAATATAATATATACAATATACATGTTGTTGTATAATATATATTATAATATTATTATTATTTCATGTCGGCGCCGGTACCTCATAAAAGACATTAACGCCGATAACGCTGACAATTAAACAAACTTGAACGGCGAGAATAGTCGACATTTCCGTCGCGTTACTGTACCTACATTGTGTGTTTACCTTTACATCGAATAAAAAAAACAATAATAAGACATTTAAAAAAAAAAACAACAATAACGGTTTTATTATTGCTCCAAATGACTCGGTGTTTTTTCATCCCTAAGTCATCCTGGCTTAAGCACTGTTCAACCGCAACTTATAGTCGTCCACCAATCGTTGCAACCGGCTGTTTTCGATCAAAGATTCCTGAAATCCAATCGGTTTACCATTAACAACCGCAAAAAATATATTTTATCGTTATTATTATTAAATACCATTTACAATATGCCAATCGAATTCGTATATTCATGGCAAAGAAAAAGTAGTCTAAATAGCCAATAAACGGCCGTAGCAGTGTAATTAGTTTAATTTCTACATATAATTTGTCAATGTCAATGTGTATAATTTATAGCCAATATTGACTACTTTTCAAACGACTCTAAGGTAGATAATTGGGTCAAATCATATATAATTTTCTCAAAAATCAGTGGATAATTAGTGCTATTATATGCATATTAATATTAGGTATGATATTTAACTAAATGCATATAAAATGGTATTATAGTGTAACAATAGACATAGCGAACATTTTACTACAGACTAAATGTAAAATCTAAATAAATGCTGTAAACTGACTTGTGTCCTACTGCTCAAACTCTGTCCAATTGAATTACAAAATTTGTAATTTGTAATTAAATAAATTATTTTAACTTAATTTTCAATTAACTGCTTATTTTCGAATAAATAACCACATCCCTTTTGTGTTAACACCCTATGAACTTAAGATTTTTAAATGGTAATATTACACAAGTTATGTTAACTTTTTAAATTAAGAATAATTTGCTACAGCTTTTGATTGTTCAACAAAAATTTTTGAATACTTGAAAATTAAACGTAATACCTACTCTGATTTATTAAGAGATATTTTTCAATGAAAACTAATAAGTGGGTATAAGAAATAATATTTCTGTAAAAGTTACTTCGAGTTTCTCCGTTAAAGCTTTGTCTTCTTCATACTTAACAAAAATCTCGTTTAACGTGTCCTGTACTTTGTGTTGGACGAACTCTTTGGATTGATAAGGACTAAGTCCTTTCACTAAAGCGATGACGCGATTTTGTTTATCGATTAATTGTTGTTTCATTTGAATAATTTTCTTGTGATTGTCTTCCAACCCGCTAATAACATAAACACAGACGGTTGTAATACGTTAAATGATGTATTATAATATGTTGCGATTAATGTTGAGTTTACTTTATTTCTGACACCGAAATTTTGTAAGCGCTTCTTAGCCTGTTTGTAAGCAACGTTAAATTTTCAATTTCCTTTTTTTGTTCGTTGATTTTGGATTCGAATTCATCACGGACAAAAGTGTTTATCCAACAACCCGCTCGGTTTTCCCATGACTTCAATTCCTCTTCCAACGCAATTTTTTTAGCCTCTAAGCTTATGATTTTTTGGTTTTGTTCTATGCTGTCGATTGTCTACAATATCATATCCAATACTTAGCACAAAGCAATGTAAAATAAATAAATAAACTTACATACATACATAATAATGTATTAAATGCACTACCGTATAGTAAAAAAAGCGATTAACGACTCGACCCGATATTAATAAGGGTTTCTTAAAGTTGTTTTTAAACCATTTAAGTTTAAACCTACGCGAGGAGTAGTAGTTTGATATGAACTTTATTTTGGTGTTAAAATGAAAATTTGTTCAATAGGGTGAGCTAATGATCTGATTAAAACATTTTATTTGCATGTCAGATTGTAAAGCTTTGTTACTTGCTAACAACTATTTGGATGACTAAATTAACTCGTGTGAGATGAGTCCAAGTTAACAAATACAAAATAACATACCAGATTGTTGATGAGATTTTCGTGTTTTGATATAATGGCCTCCCTTAACAGAACACAAAATATTATTCAAATGTATAAACGGTAATTAATTTTTTGTCTTTATACATTTTTTTAATTTTATTATTTTTTTCGTTAATTTCATCGATTTGACTACTTAGTCTCATCGAATCGACAACATATTCTGATCTCTTTTCGTTGGCCTTCGTCCGCAAGTCTTTCAGTTCTTTCATCATCTTTACGGAGCTGCAAATAAAACAAACTCTCTTAGGTATTCCGTATTTTCCTGACCATGTAAATGACGTTTTATGACCATTGTCTTTGACATTACTTGTCTTTCAACACAATCAACTCCTCTGTAGCTTCGTTTCGCTCTTTGTTAGCCTCGGTGAATTCAGCTTTGAGTTTGTTCTTCTCTTCGCACAGATCTTCGATTCTTTTCTGTCGATTGCTAACGTTCAAGTTTGCTTCGTCGATGGTTTGCTTTAAATATTCAATTTGACTGCATAAATTCGTCACAGCCGATTTAGTCTCTTCCAGTTCTCTAATTTTTTCTTTCAATTCCCGTCGTAGACTCTCAACTAAGTCGTCGGTAAGCTCCAATTTTGAACACATCGAACTTATTTCCCCTCGCGCGTTATCTAAGTCTCTTTCGATTTTTTCCACGCGAACTCCTTCCGTCTGTATTTCTTGGTCAGTTTTCTCAACGTTTATCCGTGCCGACATCGCTGCGTTATCATTTTTCATGTCTTCCAACGCGATTAACATTTCTTTATGCCGTTCTTGGAGCTCCTTGAGCTGCACCATCGCGGTCAAGTAATCGTTTTGAACCTATTAGTGGACACTAGTAACGATATACACAACTCTAGCTAGGCCGAAAAAGTATAAAATAGTTAAGTAACATGAAATAATAAGTAATGGCTTGAAAATAATTAAGCTGCGGTCCGAAGATGGTAGCATGTCAACTGACTAGACATCAGTACCCCTGGCTCTTTGTCCCGTGTGTCTGTTGCCTCCTCTACCTATAATGGATTACATGCTAAACGGAGTAAAGTGCTAATAATGCATATTTGGAGGTGAGTGGTTAAATGTAACCGTTACAGTGTTATCATTACCTAACCTAACATTTTAATAAGTATCATAGAAAAGTAACCTAGCATTTTTACTTTCTATGAAATTAGTCCTACACAAAATGGCATACGCGTTCCATATATTAAGTTCAGTGAATGGGAGTCATCAGATTAGAGATACAAGATGATTAACAGAGTCGGATTAGATAAAATAGTTGAAAGAGCTCAAGTTACTATAACAGTACTACTATTCGGCGATCGCACTAGTCTTAATCTTAAGACTAAATTCTGATTTTAAAAGTCCATGTTAAAAGGTATACTGACGGTCGTGGATTTTAAATTTTCAGTGGGTTTAATGTCGATCATCGAAGATATCGACGACAACTCGGACAACTCGTCTTCCAACACATCTCCACCGCGATAATCCAATATCATTCTGTACACGACGAGTATTTCGCGCTATAAACAGAATAATTATTAGACTGTTATCAAAAACGAAATAGGATATTTTTAGTTTGTTTCAAACGCGTACTTTGATTTTATACAAATATCTTTTAATCCACTTGTTTTTTTCCTGATCGGTCATACTCTTCCACTGTTCTTTGTTGAAGTCAATTATGTTTTCCGACTCCTATACCACACCGTAACATTTATCTTACACAAGTTATATTCGTGTATGTTTACTAACGTTGGATAACGATCATTGGCTCGTCAGAACATGGTCTAAACTATCCAGCCTCGCGAAAAAAATGGTTCGTAGTATAATCAAAGAAAAGAAACTATACAATTTTTACATGGGCTCTTATGGGGCGAGATAAAATCATGTCTGACATCTTGTAAATGATCAAGAAATGGACAGTGCTGGTAGGTGTAAGGAAACTCTTTTGTCAGCTGACACTGAGCCTAATTTGAGATTCCTAGTGGTACAAAACGTATTTCAACGATCCTTGACAAGTCAATGATGCGATTTTTATGTAATATTTCATATAGCCATTACCCCGTTAGAACAGATCTCGACAGTCTCTCGAACGGAAATGGCTACAGACATCGGACGCGTTCCGTTTCCAGAATCGAGTCTGTCGCATCGGCTTACAATGTCTCGTTTGAACGTTTCAAAATTGTTATCCACGAATTCTTCCTCGGCAGTTTTTTTCAATGGACGCGAAACATTTCGCTATACAACAATGTATAAACACAAGTTAACATATTTAGGATTGGCGCAATTTCAATAAAAACAAACTATTCTTAGTTTTCTATACGTCTCAGCCAGTCCAATCTGCACAAGTCTATTGTCTATATTTTTACTTAGCTTGTTACTACTTCCATTCCTAATTTATTGTATCCGCCCTGTGTAGGCGTAATTTCAATAAAAAAAAACCTGAAGGTGCTTGAGCTCTGCATTTTCCAGATATTTAAATTTGAATTTGAATTAATTAGGTTATGTTTTTTTTTGAGCAAGGATGTTGTTAACAATTTAACATTTCACACTTTAGTTCATTAACATATTGATTTTATAACCAAAAGTATTACAAATTAATACAATTTACAGGTATTTTATACAAGATTTTGTTTATGTTAGTTAAATTTGTATATTTTATCTTTTCTTATACATAATATCGACAAATCTGCCACGTCCTATTGAAACCTTAAGTCAAGTCTTTATTTTTCGCAAAGCAGAAAACTAACGTTCAAAAGATGCAAAGCTAATAGGAAGTGTGAGAGCCACTTGAAATTAATAAATGATACTCTTGTCAACGCTGAAAAAAATGTTTGGTTTTGTTATTTAAAAAATTTGTATCAACAGATGTTTTACTACACAAACACGGAAAATATTAGAGGTGCTAAATTTAAAATTGGGGTGATAATACCTTCTAAGCTCCCCTAGCTCTGCGCCTATACCACCCTAATTACCTTCTAAAGTCATTTCAGCTAATTTAATTACGCCTATGATAATCAGGACTGACTCTTGTGTGCAAAAGGATGACGTTGTTTACTACTAAATCATAAAATATCATTGACCAGTCGTGCCGTTTTAAGTCTCCACCTGTCAGGCTTTCCTTTGATGGCCGTTTGAATCAACTAAAAATGTAAAGGTCCTAGTTGATGCAAACGGCCAAAAATAACACGATTTTTACTCACGATATTATACTCTACCAACAAACCTGTCGGTTGTGTGCGCGTACCAATTGTCCTTTCTGTAATTTAGTTCCTAAGCCAGTGTTTATGGATGAGACGATCGAGACCGGAATGGTATTTAGTTTCAGTTTGTTTGTTTCAAAGGTTTTTTTCGTCCGGATTGGCGCAGACAATTTGCCTAAAACGGTAAATTAGACGAATAAGTACAGTGGAATGTATGTAAGACATACTCCGTTACAACCTTTTATCGCAACATCTTTATTTGAGTATTCCAGTTTTTTCACCAGCCGATCTGTTGTAACACCTTTGTTAATCTGACAAACATTGCGCACTAATTATTAATTTTTATAACAAGCAAATACGCTATTTCTCCAGACAGCTGTTTACCTTATAATTCGCCATTGAAACACGGTTGTCAATTAAAACGAGTAAATTTTATTACGTTTGAATGCATTTAAAAATATTGAGACTATTTGCAAATAAACAAATTTAACAATCACAACAATGTTTATTTTACTAACTATTTATAAGAAATCTCAATGTAAAATAAAATTACCAAGGTGTTGTATTTTGGCCATTTTTCTAAAAGCAAGCTGCATATTATACAACAAATAAATTATTGGAATATTCTAATATTGAAATCACGTACCCTTTTCAATTGGTCTCTTGTCTAACATTTCAAAGGCTATATTATATACATTTTTGTACCCATTAGATATTCAAGAGGTATTATTACCTATTAGTACCTATTAGATGCCATATTTAATTACATATCTATTATTTTAGAGGATACAGGTACCACTGCATTACACAATGGCAACATTGGTTAAGTTTTAAATGATAAAATAACGTTTAGAAATAAACAGTTATTTTAATCTCACCTAAAGGTTCAAACTTAACAGAGTAAGCTATGTGTACAAAAATGGTATCTAACTATTTATTAAGTACAAAAGTACAATGTATTACCTGCCCGTTAATGAAGCCTACTACATTTTCAGACTATTTTGCATTACTTACAAACACGGCGTTCTGATTATGCTATTTAGATGCATAATCTTATTTTCTAAAGCGTTTAAGATTAAACCATGCAACAATGTATAGGCGTACGTTATAGCTATTGAAATATAGTGACCGATTAGCTTATAAGCCAAACCTAGGGTTAAAAATTATCACCAAGTTAAAATTGTTGCATTCTATTTGTAAACTAGCTTTTAAGGTTATTGTTTTTAAATATCTACAACTATAACATATTAAAACTATTTAAATCATGTTGTTTTTTGTGCACACAACATATGCACTATGTATGGAAATTAGAAAGGTTGGGATGTTGGGAATGTTGGACAGTTTCTAGAGTTTATAGAAAGGAGCAGTTATATAAATTAGATGTTTTTTTATACGCTCTCTGAAGTTGTTTTTTGCTTTTAAAAAAAATTGAGATTGAAATTTGAAACGTGGTAAGTACTTTTAAAAGTCAGCTGTGGTGGTAAAAAATTAATTATCATTTTTATGGCCTTTTTATTGTTTTTGGCATTTAAACAAAAATTCAATCAAGTAATTCCTAACAGGAGCAGACTGGCTCCAAAATTAGACCGGCACATGGCGTTGCATTTTTTGATAAAGAGCCCTTGAAAATATATACAATAATTATTATACCTTTGATAGGCTATATACATTGTTTTTGAAAATATTTGTATAATAGTTTGGGCAATATCTTAGTCACATGTGGATGAGCTGTGTTAATAAATAAATCCTTTGTATAAATTGGTGATAGTTCATGTTTATACAACCAAACTGAAATTTATTATAAATGAATTTAAGTAATTATACTATTATATAACATAAGTAAACGCTTTGATGCGAATCTGTCGATGGTAAAAGTATTAAACACTGTGAAAAAGAAGTGTAAAATCTAATACTTGCTTAAAACTGTATTTTTAGTAATAGGGTAGATACAATTAAGGATGATTGTCTTTCTATAATCATTTTTTGCAATTATCATTCATATTATTTCGTATCAATCAATATAATAAAAATATTTCCCCCATACCTGATGATTTATTCACACATAACAACGTGTAAATTTAATACAACGCGAATGTGATGATTCCATTTTTTGGGTTTTCCATAAATAATATAAATGTTTGACATCTGATTTTTGTTAGCCTACTCTAGGTCTAACTTCAGTCTAATATTCACCCTTAAATTCCCCAAACTACCCCTAACAAGCAGAAATAAAGCAAAAGGTTTCTCTTCTTTTAGGGAAAAATGTTTTTGGTAAAACGAAAAACAGCAAATAATTAGCAATAGTATTATTAATTTTCAAGCAAGTTACTCAGAGAAAAATAGTGCGTATTCATAGTTGTAAATTTTAATATGGCAATAGTTAATAGCTATTATTGTACATATATGATTTAATAATATTTCAGGCAACTTACCTCTGAAAACTGTGGTAATGTCTTTGGTTCCGGAATAGTACAGAGTTTCGAATGTCATATCGGTATTTTGTTTATAAAAACAAATACAAGAGCAGTGGCTCTTGATAATATAGGAATATAGGATAAATGCATATTATGCGTGGGTAATATCAGATAATATTAAGTTAGTCATCGAATATGGTTTTTGATGACTAAGCAACATCATCAGTATGTAGAATTTAGATTTTAACAAATTGTAACCGTTTGACATGTACCAATGTTCTTAAATTTTACAAATTGAAAATTTATATTTTAGTCATTACTAAGCTAGGGCCGACAACTATACTGGAGACTTGGCGTCCCCATTTACAGTTATTTATACAAATAACAAATAGATTCACAAAAATTATATTCTAAAATTTGATGCAGGCATTGGTTTACGAAAAAAATAGAAATATCAAACTATTTAATGTTCTTAGAAATTTTGAGTTATCTACAATACTACTTCACAATAATACAACTAAACCTAACCCCGGTCAATAGCCTTGTTTCTTTTAGTCTTTATCGTTTGTGTGATATTATAAATGTTTAGTTCAAATTGTAGATCTGATATCGAGTGCCTTTATCACTGCAAAGTGGACCAATGCTACAAACTAAGTAAGCGAATAACGGATTAGCGATTAATTTGGAACACGCAAAAATTATGTAGTAAGTACATAGAATCTATTAAATTTGTTTACCTATTGGTACCAACTACCAAGTATTTATTTTCTCTTGAAAACAGTACTTAAAAAACAATATCTACAAAAAAAAAAAATTGAATGGGTTAAGTACGAAAGGAAACAAATTATTGACTTATATCCAACTTACCATTTAATTGATTCAGGAAAATGATAAAATAAAACTCAGTTCAACAATATCCATATTTATTAAACGAATAAACACAAGTATGATTACCTATGTATGTTACCAGTGAAACTTGAATCTGGGCGCTTAAGTAAGTCATGTGGCCTCTAGAACGCTTGCTTTATGGTGTAAAAATATAAATATATTAACGAATTAACTGTATTTTGATTTCAAGCTTTTATTTATAATTTATCACAATATTGTTATAAATGTACATAGTGGGTACTGGGTATATTAATGATAAGATTATAATATTGAATATAGGTAATCCTTGATAATTTGCATAATATAATATTAAATCGATTCGATTACACTGCAATCGGCATCTGGTGTTGAATCGAAATGTTTTTTGTGAAACTTGATAAATTTATTATAATCGTAGAGCTCTTTCATACAAAACACTTTATAGAAACGCCGGAGCCGCTTTTTCAATTGCTTTTTTGTTCGGATACGGTACATAAACGGCTTTCCCAAAAACGTTTCAGATCTATAAAACAGTTTAACTTTTGACAACTTAAAGTTGGTCATGTATTCTGCCATCGAACACAGTGGCTTGCGATCAGGTTCAGCTTCGTCGAACTCCGGCAATATTAACGTAATCATCTACAATAAAGTATATTTTTGTATTTTGTACAAGTCATCTAATAAGTATCTTGTGGAATAAACGATTTTTTTATTTCCCAATAACTCACCCCTCTCCCCTAAACTACTATTTATGTTACCATCAGTCTTTGGATACTGAAAATACAGATTATTCGATAAAAAGTTCCAACCTACAGCTGAGATATAAAAAAAAGCATATTACATTTAAAGAAGGAAAAATGTATATTTGTTTAAGATATTTGCAGATTGTTGTAAAATTTTATATTTAATTTAAAATTAAATTTTACAACAATCTACAAATATCTTAAACAAATGTAATATTGTTTTTTTTTTTAAATAAGTGTCGCGACATAAGCAAATATCTTTAGTCTGTATAATAATATATGTAAATTAAAATACCTAGATTCGTTCGAAAAGTAAATACAAATTTAACAGCGGTAGGTATCAACCACATATGACAGTTCCTTTTATGTGTTATCAACACCTCCAAAGCGACATTTATATTAGTTGTACTACTGTATTGTGTATATTATAATTAGGCGCAATTAGGGGGGGGGGGGCTTAGCAACCACAATTTTATTATAAACACCCTCTGATATTTTTCGTGTTTATGTATTACGACCTCTGTTTTTAAAAATGTTTAATATAAAAAAAACACAAGTATTTTTTATAGTTGATAACAGTATTTATTATCAGTATTATTTTTTAATTTAAGGTGTGTTAATAATTGTATTATTTTTAAATTAAAATTAAAAATTCTAATAAACATAAGTGGTAAAAATGTTAAATTATTCTATAACATCCTTGTTAAAAAAAAAAAGTTAATCTTATTATTAATTAAACTTGAAATTTAAATACGTGAAATATGAAGAGCTTAAGCACCCCCAATTTTTTGCGCCTAATGATATTATACATGTATTTGGAATTTAGTTCAAATTAAAATTCAATTGATAATACTTACTACGATTGCTAAGAGAACGTGCGTTTTTAAAAACATGGCTGAAATTATAATACTTATAGTTTACATGCGATAATCACTCCGACGATAGTACCGTTCGACAAAACCAAAATATGTTTAATGGTACTTTATAATTTTTAATTGAAACATCCCATTTGACATAGTAATTGTATTGTACACTGAATTCTGCTATCCAACTGTTGAGCAATGTTCGACGTCTATATGCATAAAATAACACTTACATTAAA